AAAGTTACACAATTACAATTTGTTTAAAAACAAAACTTTTCCTCGTTTGTTGGTATTCCGAACAAGATCGCCTACTGTTACCGAATTCGCGCAAAACGCTCTGAATATGAAAGTAAACCGAGACGGGCCTTTCTTTGGTTGTACTTGTTTTAGTGATGGCCGATGTGTTTACTGTGCGATTATATCGATACAATTTAGTAACGATGTTTTATTTGCCTTATATGCCTTATTATCCGAAACCATATTTTTTTATCTTTTATTAATAGTTCACAAATTATATGAAAACAAATATTTTACTTGTAGTGTTTGATATTAAGTTACTAAACACTTTACCGCTTTTACTCTACATTTCATTCAATTTTTCCATTTACTCCAATTTCTCTATAAGTATTATACCTACTCGTAGCCTAGCATTATCCATAGGCTAACGTGCTATAATACTTATCTATTACATTTGTGATCATAATGGGAAAAAATCCCGATATATTTCCGCAAAGACCGCATGGTGTATTTGAACATGAGTATCGATAATTGGTTTTTGGACAACTCTACTTCAACGTAAAGTTTCGGCGATGAATATCGATTCACTTATTACGACGCAACTTGACGCTCCCACGCAAACTTAGTATGCGAATCCGGTTTAATCATACTTCATTTTCAATATTTCAACGTTCCACGAAAAAGCCCGGTTTTGTCTAAATTTTGCGGCTGACAGCCCTTTGAGATCGCCCTTTGTCCGTATTGCATAATATCCGAGTAGGGTTGTGGTATCTCGGCTAGTTTTCAGTTTTCTCAGATGTCTTTTATTACGAGACCTTTATTTCTGACACCAAAATAGAAAGATTGCCTTATTTAGATATATATTTAGATTAGTATAAAATAATGTCAATGTTGATAACGTCATTAGTGGCGGTGTCTTTCACATATTTGGATTTTGACATATCTGTCAATGTCATGTCAAAAATAACCAATCATGCAGCATTTGGACCTCGCACCTACGTATTGCCATCTGGCGGATTTTTCAATCGCGAAAACCTTCATTGGTTCTCACGGAATACCAGCGTTATGTGAGTTATGTCCTGGGTTCTAACTTCTACTCTAGAACATAACCGCTGGTTTCCATTTTGGTCCAGAAATTACCTAAGTATATAATTACATAGTGCACACTGATGATGATGATCCATCCGGCCGATTTCGTCCATGGCGACCACTCCGACTCCTAGCTGTCTTGGCGACACTGGTGTGCCCGAAGAGTGCACACTATTTGTATAATGAAAATTGTGTATTTTAAAGTAAATAAACAACTTTTATTTCTTTCAAAAATGAAAATGGATTTTTTTTCCATTTCTACGAGGGCTGCACTAAAAGTNGGCCAACTAAAAATCGGTAGTCTGCGCCTAATCCTAATCTAAATTTTTATTATTTTTTTACCTTAGACAAAGAAATAAAGTAAAAAATACCTTCATGATAGTTAGTTTACAAGTATATTCATAATTACTTACATTATTTTGTTATTAAAAATTAATTAACTCGATAGATGCTAAAATACTAGCTAAACTGCTAAAGCTAATGTCGATGACTGCGTTATTTTTAACATAATAATTTATTTGTGAAAGTTTTAAACATACAAAAAAGAAATACGCTAACTTGTGTCTAGTCTAGACCGTCTTAGAAGAGGAACTAATAGTAGTTAAACTTTTTTCGATAGTGATACGTAACTTAATCGACGTTTAATAGATTGACGTAACGTAGAGTTAACGATTGAAGAAAATAACCTATCTACAGCGAGTCTTTATTGAGGCACGGCATGATCTATGACATCTTCTCTGAATGTTAATGGGCGCTTGCATTAATATATCGTAAACCTTGGTATTATTCCAGTTCCTTGACGACGTTAAATAATGCCCATGTACTTTATCCACAGCCGTGGCTAAAATGATTCTAAACTTATGTTTGACGTTGATTTGACGAAGAAGTGTAAGTGAAGTATTGTAGAAACAAGAAGTAATGAGTAATTCACAAACTCGGACCACAAGCCTACGGCCCATTTGGGACGAGTTGCGGAAAATCTAAATTATTTATTGAAATTTAGTTTGTCACATATCGGCATAAATTATAGCCTATATGTTAATCTGGGTTATTATAAACAATAATACTGTAAAGTTTCAACAAAATCCGTTCAGTAGTTTTTGCGTGAAAGATTAACAAACATCCAGAAATCCACACACACTTTCGCATTTATAATATTAGTAGGATTTCATTCGTCAACTCGTCCCATTTACTTTTTTCGTGAAACTTTAAAATGTATACTTGTCTCTACATTATGCATTAATTAATTATCTTCTTTAGATAGGCAATCAGATTCTTAATCTTGACTTGTTCTCTCATATGGGGTCATCCATAAAGTACGTCACACGTAAAGAGGGGGGGAGGGGGTTGGCAAAGTGTGACATGGTGTGACAAGGGGTGGGAGGGGTCCTAAGTTATTTCATATAAAAAAATACTTAATTTAAATAGAAATACAACTAATTTGAACTAATTTCGGATCTGCTGTTAATTTAATAATTTTTCGATGTGAAATTGCAAAACATGTGACGTCACACTAGTGAGGGGGGGGGTCTCAGAAATGTGACCACCTGTGACAAGGACGGAGGGGGGGTCAAAACATCATGAAATTCGTGTGACGTACTTTATGGATGGCCCCTATTAAAAAATGCAATCTCTGTTTCGTCACATTTATTCCGTCAATAAATCACGTCACGCCAATTTTGATTTGTAATATTAGTCCGTTAATTGACAATTGACTTGATTGTATCGACATTTTTTTATTGCCTACGTCAAAGAACTCACTACTTGACTATTCCCACCTCTCGTTCCCACCGCTGCAACTCCTGTGTAGCCAGGATCTACAGCTTGACCGCCAATAAAAACCCAACCAGTGAAGGTCAAGTTTAAAAAAAATCCTGTTGTGTTATCATACTGTTGTGTCACTTAAAAATTAAAGATTGATGGTGAAAACGGGCATTAGTCAACTATTTATAGAAATACAGTCTTGTTGTATTAACTAGTTCAAAATTAGATACAGGTCTAGCCTAGGTTAAAGTGTGGGCGGTTAGGGCCAATGTCAATGTCAAATAAACAATTCCCACAAAAATAGATCAAACTATAAACGCAAAGGAATACGGTTCAAAATTAAATAAACTTTTGGATATTAACCTTAATAATATTTTATGAAATGACGTGGATACTGAACTCTAGGTCGTATCAATTAATCAAATTCAAATTATTTATTCAGTACATACATAATCATCTACTCTACAATTTTTGTACGTATTGAGTTGCGTCTTTATTTTCGCTTATAGAACTGTATCTTATTTTTGATACGATGTTTAGTGATTACATATTCAATATCTAGTAATTATACACCGATATCAAGTTATAAATGTGTATTTTGATTTGACACTGTGTTTATAAGCAAAAATCCTCTAAGTTATAATTTTATTATTGACCATGAAAGTTTAAAACAATATATCCTCTTAGTGAATAATAAACTAAAGTAAATATAAGCTATTATGTGCTAATACCTGATTGTTTTTAAAGTTAGACAATTACAATTTGTTTAAAAACAAAACTTTTCCTCCTTTGTTGGTATTCCGAACAAGATCGCCTACTGTTACCGAATTCGCGCAAAACGCTCTGAATATGAAAGTAAACCGAGACGGGCCTTTCTTTGGTTGTACTTGTTTTAGTGATGGCCGATGTATTTACTGTGCGATTATATCGATAAAATTTAAATACGATGTTTTATTTGCCTTATTATCTGTAACCATATTATATTTTTTTACACAACGATGGAAACAAATATTTTACTTATAGTGTTTCATATTAAATTACTATTAGAGCACTACTGCTTTTACTCTACATTTCATTCTCCAATTTCTCTATTATAAGTAACAACGGTTTATAGATATTATAAGCACTCGTAGCCTAGGATTATCCATAGGCTAACGGGCTTTGTCTATTACATTTGTGATCATATTGGAAAAAGAAACCGATCTACTTCCGCAAAGATCACACATGGTGTATTTGACTATGAGTATCGATAATTTGTTTTTGGACAACTCTACTTCAACGTAAAGTTTCGGCGATGAATATCGATTCACTTATTACGACGCAACTTGACGCTCCCACGCAAACTTAGTATGCGAATCCGGTTTAATCATACTTCATTTTCAATATTTCAACGTACCACGAAAAAGCCTGGTTTTGTCTAAATTTTGCGGCTGACAGCCCTTTGAGATCGCCCTTTGTCCATATTGCATAATGTCCGAGTAGGGTTAAGTCATAAGTTTATTCAATTTAAAAAAAGTTTTCTCAGAGGTCTATTATTACGAGACCTTTATTCCTGACACCAAAATAGAAAGATTGCCTTATCAATAGACATGACGCTTTGTCATTAGTATAAATGCATTAGATAGCCAGTTCCTATGTGGTTGAGGATTCCGGGTGAAGCTCGCTTCTACCTTCGGCCTGATCATCACTTACCATCAGGTGAGATATAGGCCAAGAGCTTCCTCGTTGTGGATAAAAAAAAGTTAATGTTGATAACGTCACTAGTGACGCTCTCTTTCCAGTTGGTTCTCATGGAATACCAGCGTTATATCCTGGGTTCTAACTTCTACTCTAGAGCATAACCGCTGGTTTCCATTTTGGTCCAGTATATTTGTATATTCTAGTATATTTGTATCCACACACTATTTGTATATTGTGAATTGTGTATTTTAAAGTAAATTCATTACTTTTCCTTTTTTATTTCAGATTTTAAATTATTTTTTTCCGTTTTGAAGTTCATAAGTGCCACCTGTGGTCTAAATTGAATAAAATATTTTTGATTTTGATTCCATTTCTTGTAATTTATTTAATTGGTTCCATATAAGTAAGTGAGAACTCTTCTCATTTATCAAAACCAGAATTTTCAAAGTGCCGTTTCTTCATTCCAGAGTCGTCCAGAGAAGCAGTCGTCGCTAGCGTCTGGGCCTCCGCCCCCCGCGCCCATAGTGCCACGGTCCGCCGACGGGCCCCGGCCTCCAGGCTGGAACGGACAGCCGCGAAGACATGGCTCCAGCCGGTTCAATGTTCACCACCACAACCAGGAGTTGGTCAAACTACCGCCCATTAAAGGTCAGTGATGATGCTGGTATACCAAAAAGTGAAGAAGTTTCTGTTAGATCCTCCCAATGAGATGGTTTTAGTTTTCACGCTCGTAGTTCGTAGATGAAGAAAAATACTTTGAAAATTCTTTCGAATTCAATTCTAACAAAAGAGTACAATTTCTTTCTGTTATTACCTAGACGCTTGATTTTTTAAACAACTTGAAAGAACTACCAAATATCGAACTTACTACTTACCTAAGGTTGACGCTTGAGGTGGGAGATGGATAAATAAGCCAGTATCCAAACGGCAAACGCCATTTTAACGACGAAAATCAATGCCAATAATATTGCCTAGGTGCCAAGTATCGTTAAGATTTTCAATCAATTAGGAGATGTCGATAAGATGCAATAATTTATTAAATTAGTCCAACATTTCTAAATATTTCTCGCGCATCGCATTAATCACATTACTGCCTACAGCAATTAAGTAATTAATCCAATCAACTCTTGCTTCTGATCGAATGCGCACGAGTGGAATCGATTGCAGCCCGATCGAATTCTCAGCGTGACTACGCGTAGCAATGCGCGACTAATTTTAGTTAAGTAGATTACGTCCGTATTTTTGCAGACATTAAATTCCAGTTCCATACTCAGTTTCTTGCGAGGATCAGAAGCCCTCAGGTAAAGTAATGCTGGACTTCTGTTAAACTGATTTCCATCCAAAAAACTGTCAATGTACAATACAAGACATTACAAATACGGTCAGTTTTTGGGTATAATGTCAGTTTAACTGACCGTGAATGTTCAACTTAACATTGGTACCAGATTAATTTCATAACACGTAAATGACCATTCAGTACACTAGACTGAGCCCTTACATCAAAAGTCAGGAATTGAGACATTGTGTTACTGTGTAAAGTTTTCCTGTACTTAATCGTCGATCTTCTAATTGCACACCGCAGCTTTAATTGTAGTTCTACAGAATGGAGAAAAAGTATCATTGCGTGTGATAATAATTGACATGTCCGGCATGGAGTGTAGTGTAACGCAAATTGATTTTAATCATAGAAGTTACACTTACTTGCGATATTTGGTTCACTGTAGTTTATTTTTCGAATCGCTGGTGGGCCTAAGATTCCATACTTTTGTATCATTAAAAGCGGAGAAGCAGATTCCACTCGTATTGGGTTATTAGGTTTAGAGTTACCCCGAAAAACCTCATCAGAAGTTTCGAATGTTGCCATCTATCTCACGCAAAGTGAGATCCCAGCATGAGCGATGGTGACAGATAGACCCGAAACTACGAAAATAGGATTTTGGAGTAGCGGCATCCTCGATACGTAGTAGAGACGCAAACAATGCTAAAAATGTAAAATAAGAACCTGACTGTTGAAAATACTTTTCCTATTATTCAATTGAAAAAATACTCTTCTATTTCTAGTCCCACGTGAAACAAATATTACACAATACAGTACTATTCATCACTGTTACACACTCGTATTTGCTAATGTCAAGATCGAGCAACCATTATAGTTATTTGCATGTAAAAACCAAACAATTATTAGCTATTGTGCATTTGAACTGGCCACGGAATGTTTTCCATGCTCCTGCGCAGTCTCGAAGCGTTTGTTTTTTCTAGAAATACGTTTGTCAGTTTGCATTTCTTATAATTAACTTTAAAAAAAAATAAAACCGACTTCAATTGCGTGAACACAAAAAAAAACTAAAAATTAAAAATATTGCGTATAAAAAAGTTCATCCCCAATTTTCCACCCTTGGGGGTGAAATATTTTCTTCAAATTCGCATGAAACCACCCTTTTGATAATACCTATTCAACAAAAAAATAATCGTTCAAATTGATTTATAATCGGCGGAGATATTGCGTATAAAAAAGTTCATCCCCAATTTTCCACCCTTGGGCGTTGTTTTTTCTATTATTAAATTTAAATGGGACCACCCTTGAGGTATTACCTATACGCCGAAAAAATATTTGTTCAAATCGGTTCATAATTGGCGGAGTTATCGCGTAACAAACATAGAAAAAAAAAACATACGGGTCGAATTGAGAACCTCCTCCTTTTTTGAAGTCGGTTGAAAATTAAAATAGCATTTTTGGAGCTGTCAAAACGATGTTTCCTTTTAGACTTCGTAAAGAATGGAAATGTGGAGAACATCGTGGTTTTTTGCAATGTTATAAAAATACTTAGATGGAGAAAAAAAAGTAGGTATGACGCTAAATCTTAGCCCCAACCAAACTAAGCAAGCGGTACGGGCGACAGCGACAACACATCAAAATATATATTTTTGTTGGAAAATCACGCTTATAACAACCACTTATGATGCTACAGTGTTAAACTTGATGTGCTCTTGTTCTATGAGGACTAGACAACGTATATAAAGCAGTCGTGTTTGTTTTGGCATTGTAGAGCTTAACGTTTAAATGTTCGACTGAGTTTGATGAATGCCGCATGTATTTAATTGACGAGGTTGTTTTACGTCATTGTATTCTTTTAAGCTTCCGAGATTAAATTCTGCTTAAACAAAAGCATCTGTACTATGACTGTTTGAACCCAAAGTAGAGCTAAATAGTAGCTAAATATAAAGTTGTGTGATGTTTGATTGCGATTTAATGTGCAGGCAGCGCCATCTCTTGGTGACGCAAAGAATTACTTACGCCTTTATACATTGAACAAACACAACAGAGTGGTACCATTTCTATATCTAACTAGGAATCGATCGCACTACATAACATACTCGTAGGTAAACAGTGGCATTTATCAACTAGGTTTTGCATACCGAAAGTTACTGTACACCATAACTTACAGGTTAAAGTAAAAAATATGCTACATTTTAATCTAAATTGAACCACTAGTGAGATTGTGTCACGCGAACAAAAACACTTAGGGAACTTTATATTAATTACGAAGCAATTTCCTGTAATTACTGTACTGATTGTAATAATTTAGCTTCGGTTTTATAGTTTAATATGGTTTTGTCACGTCACCCGTATTTTCGGTGTCAGTGCTTATTTCCCAGGATGACAATACCGTCTTTGTTGTCTTTCATTAGAGCTGCTTGTTTATACATGATACAAACTTCTGTAGCTCTAAAAGAAATTAATAGAGATAAAAATGAAGGGCAACTACACCGTGTGAATGACCGAAATATCTTTTGCCTGAAATTCAATAACAATTATTTTGTCAAAAGCCACCTACATTGTTATTTTTATGTTCAGGCTCTTCGTAGTTCTCCAAATTATAGCATAACCTTTTGAGCATTATTGTGTTCTATTTCATTGTTAAAAATCAAGTTATTTTACCATTTTGGTCATGGTTAGGATTCGAATTTGATTTCTGTTCTTTTGAAGCTTGACCTCTTAGTTCAAGCTGAACCAAACTGGAATACTGTGAGTCCTAATAATCGCAGTCTTCCAAGATCCGACTATCACAAAATAAGGGCAAATGACAAATGAGCATTAAATTAAACAGCAATTGAGCGCTAAGGGCCACCATACGCTGGCGGAGCGGTAAAGTGGCGTGTGTCCGCTCGCTCCAGATCCCTTTGTGCTCCGTTCCGTTTCCGCCGCCTTTCAGCTGCTTGCTAGTCAATAGACATTACACCCCTACCATAGGTCCTTGAATCAGATAAGTACATTTATTGACAGTCTCGGAATTCTTAAATGTTCTCCAATGCAACTTAAGGTCTTAGTTAGAACACTACAATTTGGCGATCATGAATTTCTATTGGTAGACACGTTGGTTTTCTGTTCTTTGGGATACTGTTTTTTGAGACAGTAACATTTTATTAAGCATGATTTTTCATTTAAAAATCTCGACGGTCTCAGGTAGCTTTCGACATTTCGCTTGACACTTTAATGCTCGATTATAGAGCTGCACTGCGGCCTGCGGGAGACATTGATAACTGGTCAAAATTTAGCACCGACCCTCCAATTTACCAGAGGGAGTGGAGGATTTGACCTACACTGCGTTCGCTGGACGGCGGGTTGCAGAAGCTGTCTTTCCCACCACTACAACTTCCAATGAGATGGTTGAGTAGTCCCTGGGAATAGAACTGTCTTTAACGACATCCACAGTAAGAATGAAGGTGGTCCTATTTCTCAAGTGAATACAGATCGAGTTCTCGTTGTAAGTCTTGCCCCAAGTCTAGGTAGTTCCATCCACCTTACGGAGTGCCAGTTTGCTTAGCTCTCAGCCTCTTGTTGATCGTGTATGACATAGTTGGAGCTCCTCATGCCTTTTAATGCTTTGGGAGTAGGTCAATGTATACGTTTCTGAATATAATTTAGATGCTTGTTTCCGTACATAGTAAAGAACTTACTACTAACTTAATAATTGAACAAAAGCTGGGCTTATATTGTTTGTACCCAAGAATATTATTTGGAGACCTGTTTCAATCATTTATGATTCTATTTGTTTTTGTAAATCCAATCCAAATCCAAGACATTTGTTAGATGCAGCTGCAGAAATTCTAACTATTTAATTACTAAACCGTTTTATATTTATATGTAAAAACAAACATTACGATTAGTTATGTTCGTATATTTTATGACGAAAATGCGTAGTTGCATAATTTAATGCAACAGAAAAGAAAATATACAAAGTGTAATAATAATAAACAAAAGGTTGTTACTGTCAGGTTAAATCAAATACATAAGTACGTCATACTTACATATAATGTTATTTACATTACATGATTTAATTAATAACACAATAAGTATTGTTTCATTGTTTTGTTTGTTTTTATATGTATAGTCTAGTGTACGTGCGGTTTCTTATGTTAACATAATGTATTAATTCGATCTTTCAAATTATATTACTTTTTGAAATATAGCCCGAAAATGCTGTGGGCAAAAATAGGCATTCAATAAATAATCAAATAATTTCATGCGTTTAAAATAATCTAGCAATATGCCAACCATCTGATCTGAAACTTTATTATGGAATTCAAAAGCAAACTATTTCTTGCACCTGAGTTCACATGCTCTTTTGCATAAGTAAATACGTATTATGTAAGCAGTGCGGTTCGAATTTGCATTTGCTTTTAGTACTGCACGTAGCGTATTTGCTGCTTAGGTACCGATGACGGCACGTCAAGTTATACGTGGTGATCTCTAATGCCCTCATTAATAAAGGCGATTTTGTATTGGCTAAAATGTATAGGCGATTTTGTATTGGCTAAAATGTATAACCCGTTGTGCTATCGTTAGTACCTACGCTTGGGTTTCCCTAACGAAATGGGTCGCCTAAATGAGCGTCAACCCTGTGACCTGGAATCACTCGTTCACCCTGCTATCGAGGGTAACAATACACTCTGATAGGTATTGTGAAGCGGTGGAATATCGCAAACGTCACGTTTACGCATCGACACTTGAGAATCTGCTGGTAAAAAAATATACTAGATAGATGAACTAACTTTTTCATGCAAGCTTAGGTTGCAAGTTGCTTTTCAAGCTTTAAAAAAAAGCAATATGGATATTTCTGACACAATTTCTAAGAATAAAATAAAACCACCCATTCAAATCACTAGGTAGGTAATATCATCAAAATTCCCACTGTCCCAGATCCTTAATCCGAGTTTCAAAGTAATATCACTGTGGCTGTAGCAGAGTTGGGTTCAAGCTCCAAAGTTTGGCTCCACTAGCTAATGACTGTGAATGCAAAGTGAACTGGGTCTTCTTAGTTCACTAATAACTGCCAAAATGCCACTAAAATGCGTATACTTTGACACATTTACGTTCTTTTTACTACAGCGAAACGAAATTATTATATTATCATCATCATCGTTTCAAGACGTCCACTGCTGAAAATAGGCCTCCCTTATAATTAGGTTTAAATAAGCAGTGTTAACACTCACCAAAACAATGATAGATGTTCTACTTATAAGAGCTCAGGTACTCTAAAAATGGTGCTCTACGTGAAATGCGTCATTTTTTATCTAAGGGGTATGGATACAGTACAGTCTCTAAGAGATACTCACTCCAACACCGCACAACATCAATAATCGTAAAAATGCCGCTGCAGAAGTCTAATTGCGACTTTAAGGCGGAAAATATGTCTCTAAAAACCTCCATGAAAGGTCTTGACTTGAATAATAGTTGATTTAACAAATTGTCATAGGCTGACATGTAAACCCATTACAGCTGATGGCACGTAATTTGTATTTCTGTTGCCGACCTACGCTCGTGGTATATGTTAATAAACACCATAGCACTTATTAACACTTTCAATTAGGACGGGTCACTGCTACCGAACGCTAATCTACCTAATTACCGTAATGGTCCACTAATCCCAGTCACAGTAACCTTCTAACATCTGTTTAACAACTCACCAGTGCCTTGAGTTTAATCCTGTTAAAGATTTACATGTGTTTACTTGACATTGTGGAGACAGCCTTGTGGAAAGTGCGTTGGAAAAACGTCCTTGTAAGTTTATTACCGAAGGTTGCTTCGAGCCTGATTAATACTTGATGTTTCGATTTCAGTTGGATTTTCTTTATATTTTATTCATTTGAGGTGTTTTTCAAATAGGCTTCTTTTACGTTGTTCTGGTACGTTAGTTAAATATCGGTGGTAAATTATTGAGAGCCACTTGGTTTGGTGCTTGGCATAGTGGACTATAAAGCCTATGTGATTGGGGATTCAAATCCCGTTGGGGCCGTATGTTAGTGTACTTAATCCCTAGTCAGGGTTTATATTCTGCTGCCTTTTCAAAAGCTCTACCAGTTGGTAATTAATCTGATAGTTGAAAGATAAACGGATGGATACTTTGCTAAGTGAAAACAATGTATAAGTTCCGATTAACATAATTATTTTGTCAATGAAAGTCAAGGAAAACCTTTCAGGAAGAATATCAGCGAACTTGTTTAGCTTCCCATCTCATTGTCTGAAAACAGAAGTTTTTCCTTCCTCTCCCCGCCCATCCTATTAGACTATTTCCATTAGTTACTTTGTTGTTCGAATAAAAATACACCCGCACCATTACAAAAACTCGCACCATTGACTATTTGAATATAGCGCGAAGGACGTCTAATCTACTAAACAAATTAGCTTTGTTACATAAAAGGTGTTTTCAATACTGCGTTTAATTGTTTTCCGATGTATAACTATAGCGAGAACAATAGGCTTGTGTAGTGTCTTCACACATACGTAATGGTGTAAAGACGCCATTCTGAAAGACTCGATGGCATTGTTATAGATTCTTCAGGTTTTTCTCATCTGTTTTAGAAAAACCTTCAGTTTTAGCTTCTATAACTGGCCAGTATGCCATTTTGTTTCTATTGACTGAGGTGTATATGATCAATGATGTAAAGCCAGAGTATAGATACTGACTTTAGTTGTGCTGTAATGGAACTAGACACGCGTTTCCTAGAATGGGCACGGTAAATATTTGATGGCTTATCAGATAATTTCGGCATTATGACCACACGATAAGATATCATCGGGATATATTGTTAACGTAACAAAATAAGATTATTGTCCTGCCACACACTGCGTCTTTAATGTCAAAGTTTTTAACATAATTTCACATTCGTGACATTCAAGAACTAACATCGAGTCCAGGAAATGAATCAGACAATTTGAAGTCGATTAAACGATCGATTCTTGTGGGGGGAAATGGCACGTCTGGCACAGAATCGCCCCGCCCGCGTCGCGAGGGTTACATTCCCCTTGCGTACACCCAAACAAACTTGCCCGGTTGAAGTTTTAACCCTCATTTGCCTTTTGATTTCTCAGAAATGTGACCGTCTGCCCCCGTCGAGACAGTAAAGCATACTTTGCGTGTCATAGTTCACATACCTATTGTAGAGAAGCTTAAAATGTATGCGTGGGAGCAGGTATCTCTAAAATGTGACGTCAACGTCTCTAATGATTCATTTATCAACCTCACACACCTCTATTAGCTATCCAAACTCACAATGAATTATTATACCGAAATACATAATGGACTCATCGCTTGGCAGCTGATTGATCGTTATTAATTGCGGTCAGTGTTCCATAATATTTGCTCACGATCGCGATACTCATAGCTTGTTTACGGTGCGTGAAGTTGATACGAATATGATATTGAACCCGTCGTGGCAATAGAAATGTCTACTTAATGTAGAGAAATCAGCACACGGTGGTCAACGAGATTTCAATCGACTCAAGCGCTAGATGATATGCATCGCAAAGCGCTGATAACATCCTCAGTTCGTAGGCCGCGCGTATTATATTGTTGTTACGGAGGGGTTATGTAAATCGCGGACGGCGCTATGACGTGGCAGCCCTAGCGGAGGTTGTATGCGCGGGGCGGGGGCGGGCGGCGCGAGGGTGCGCGCGCAGCGGCGGCGGCGCGAGTCTTGCGCCCGGCGCGTGCCAGTCCGGCCGCCCCCGCAGTCGCTCCGGTCCCGGCGCCGCCGGGCTCCCGCTCGGATGCCGCTGCCGGCCGCCGCCTGCGATGGTCCACGCCGGGCCGGCCGCGCGCGCGCCCTCTCGCGCGATGTTCGCCGCCGCTGAGACCAAACCGCGCCGCGCCGTCTCGCCGCTCGGTATCCCCAAGTCGCCCTCGTTCCACTCGGGACTCGACCTAGTCGCTAGCCAAGCGGCCACGAAGCGATCCGAGAGCGTCTCGGACGTCGCCAGAGCTTTCCGCTTCGCGCTGCTCGCCGGCGCCGGCATGGAGGGCCAGGGCCCGCCGCAGAAGGCGCCGTCGCCGCCGGACGCGCGCAGCTCGCCGCTCCCCGCCGCCGCCGCCGCTTCGCCCGAACGCCCCGTACAGATCCCAACAGATAAAGAGAGTTTAATGGTGCAGCTGCCCCTGCTCAAAGGTTCGTCGGCGTCTCGCATGCTTTCCAGCTCCCGCCTATAAAAATTTCACCTCTGTTTACAAACCGCCTACGTTTGTTTAGCTACCTTTCGATATCCGCCCGCGGAACGACTCGGGCTATTTCTAGCCGACCGGCGTCAAACGTGCGATTAATCGTTGCGGGCCGGCGATCTACATGCTCAGTGTAACTGGCGATAAATATTTGATTGTGCTAGACGACAAACGTTGGGAGCGATGACTAACTCCGCCCACGCTGCTCGCAGCCTTGGAGTAAGCGCCGGTGCCTAAACAATGCGACAGAGTCGCTGGCGAGCCGAATGGCTATCTAGCCGTAGTCAGTATGACGTGAAATGGCGAAAACGCCGCAGAAATATATCGACCCATCGGCCACTGGTCGGCCCCGCGTATGTGTGCCATGGGAGGCAAATGCGACGTCCTCGCGCCTTGCAGTAGTTCCCCCATTGGCATTAGGCATGCAATTCATATTTAGGTTGAGGACTTCTCTCAATAACCGTTAATGGTTGCTATTATTACGACGAGAAACGTAGAGCATTAGATTTTTAAAAGCTAGTGATTTAAAAATACCGGCCTCACCTTTTTTGTGATTGGTTGTTTACCACGTTTGTATTTGTTTTACATTTCCTTTAGATCTTCCATTCACTCGCATGTTATTGTTTAGACTTCACCACTCTTCAAATACAGCCAAATAATGACTATCTAAATCAATGGACTGCTGTAAATAAACACCTTCCATAGCATAAAATATTTTTCCAAACATTTTCCACGGCAGAAATGTTGTTGCGTGGTATGAATACAAAACAAGATGATTTATTACATCGCAGCACGGGTGTTAGTCGACAGGTGAGGGATTTTACGGCATGTTATCGGTTGCCGTAACTCATCAATTTGGCCAATCCATGTGTACTCCATGTTTTCATCTTCCGGCTTTAAATTCGGTAAACATGAGTACAGTACCAGCATGAACAACTTTCGTCTTCGAATCGACTGCGTATTCGACAAATCTCGATACTCAACCTCATACTAAGTTCACTTTACGAAACGTTCACAAGGGCGCAGTTGTAGTTTTCGTACTAAATATTTTGATGGCGATTCGAACTCGAAAGTTTTTCGTGCTAGCCGTACTGGTATAGTTGTTGCAATTCACGAAGGCGAGTGAACTTCATCTGTGGTGGCTCGCTACTGTACGTTTTTTTTTAAGTTTTAATAGACATTCCACTATCGTTATGTGCATGTACACGTTATGTGTACGTGTACATGCAAGTACAAGTAATGCTCACTCGCCTTCGTGAGTTGCAAGAACTACTGGTAGAGTCAGCATTGTGGTGGCTGATTTGAGTTTCAGTGAAGAATTTCTTTACTACGCTCTACATTTGCTTCTCACAAGTTATAACATTATTAACTGACCATGCTTTCGTCCTTTTTCACCTTTTAGTTTTTCTGATTAGTTATGGATAAGATACACAACTGAAAATAATATAACTTGTTAAAAACTGAAATACATCAAAGTTTAAAGGAGAAATATAGAGCAGACCTATTTTATTAATATTTCAATAGCGATCTTCCAAGAAATTTACTGAAAATTAAATTGCATAGCTAAATTACTGAAATTACCAGTTGTTTCTGCATTGGCGATAACAAGTCTGTTTTACATAATTGATTCGCTATACATTAGTTTACAGCATTTCTATTGCTTCATAACGAATCTTTGCCATGCCAAATGGGAAATCTTGCACAGAAACTTTAATTTTTTTTATGCATAACAAGGCAGGTATTTGACTACAATCGCACCTGATGTTATGTGGGATGCAGTCTAGGATGGTACATATCTGCCCTGTAAGTGCCTATTCACTCTCGCCCTGAAAAGGCCCGGATTATAGACTTCGGGAATGACAGCAGCAGGCAGCGAATTCCAGTCCCTAGCTGTTCGCATTATAACACAACAACTGTCTGTCTGTTTTCCTACTTCGTAAATGGGTACTAATAAACGTATTTTACCTGAAAATAAGTTGAGGACTATCATCGGTGTGATGACAGTCTCAATCAAACTAAATCGTCGCTCCATCAGGCGCCAATACTTTGATGATACTGAAAATTAAAATTTTCCCGAAGTCTTATTTTCAATTTGAAAGCATAACAATATTACCTGAAATCTTTTTCTTACGCCCTGTATTGAGCAAATACTGATAAACACTTCACACCTTCCTATTAGTTTCACATTATCGTCTAGGATTGTGTGCACTTCGTTCATTTTATGCTTTTGTAGAAAACCCACCTTAACAACAAAATATGTTTAACGTCCTGGTGATAAATAGCGCCTTATCTTTATACATTCACTTTAGTACTTTTCCCGAAGAATCGTTGAATTTGTAATATTTGACTGAGGTAAACAAAAATGGCGGATACACCTCGACTAGGTATAATCAATGAATGCGTCACCAAACCTCTATTTGAAGGGCAAAACACTGTTACTAATACACACTAGAAAGAAATTAGGCATGATAATTATTTCGATTTCGAATCACTTAACTGAATTAGATTTCCTATGATTGATCATGCTAGACATCCTTCTAAAAGTAATATAAAAATTTCATGTCGTGAACATTGTAGCGCAAAAAATGCTTTATGAAAAACAATTGACAATCCATAGTGGAATATTTTTTTTTTCTTAGTGGCCAAGGAGTTTGAGCGCATACAGCTTCTGTATCTTGATTTATCAGACTTATTAAATAATTGTTACTTCATTCTTATTTTTACCAAAAACTTTAACATTCATTTTTTTTTTATGCTAGCCAAGGCAGGTATTTGACCGCAATCGCACCTGGTGTTAAGTGAGATGCAGTCTAGGATGGTACATATCTGCCCTGTAAGTGCCTATTCACTCTCGCCTTGAAAACGCCCGGATTATAGTGTTCAGGAAATACAGCAGCAGGCAGCGAATTCCAGTCCCTAGCTGTTCGCATTTGTTTTTATTTCAAGTGTTTCACTTATTGCTTATTAGTGGCAACAGAATAGGTAGGTAAACCAATTTGTAAATTATAGCATCGTCTCCAAATACGAATATGTGCTATCAGTTGCCTTTCAACTTTGATTTCGTTTCGTCAAGTCAAAGAGAGACTATGCCTTGGGAATACTTACGTAGTTGTTTATGATGAAAGATATTCGGTTCAGTAAATCCAGTAGTAGGAATAAAATAGCAGTCGAAGTAATCAAACATGAATCTAAAACGTGTATTGTTAAATGCATAAAGTTAAAATTGTTGTCGAATTTCTAACAAATGCTATACTTGCTTCTATACATGATAATTTCGTATTAAAATGAAACTTACGTATTACACTTGAGGGGATCCAGTGCCCTCAGTCTCGAGCACTAATTCAAGTCCGTTGAGTTAGCATTTTGACGGCACCCGACCTTCTCTTTGTAGAGAATTTAAAAATCCCACAATATCTACTTATTTATTAGTGTGTAGGTAATATTTTTGGATACATGTATTTTTGGAAAAGAAAATAAAGTTTAGTTCAGTTACCCTTACCAAACAACGTTATTACTTCACTACATGGAATACTTTTTTCGCCTCACTACGTCGCAAGTATTTTGTCAATGTATAAATACGGGTTATTCCGTATTCGACCCATGACAACTCAACCCATTTCTTCACTCATCCCAAATTAGTATTCCTAGCTCTACCCATTACAGAATTTCGTTATTCTACCCAAATGCATTCCTCACTCAACCCAAAGTAAATATACCAAAAACAAGTATGGATAGCAAAACAACGTTTACTATTTGTCCAGAAATTTAATTATGATAAATACATACTAGTACATTTATTTTTATTTAAAAAAAAACATCATTGATAAAATATACAAACATATTATGGGAAAACTTGCACTTTCAACAAACCGTTGTTAAAGGTAAAAGTGTGAGTTATTATCTTATTAACTGTTATCTATGCAAATGAGTAACCGATACCGCTTGCCAAGCGGCTTGTCCATCCATTGTTCACCCTTAAACCGGTTTTAATTGTTTTGACAATGTTGCGAATCGGCCCTTATCAGTTATAACTTAAATATCGAAGATTTTATTCTATTTTAAGGTAATTAAGAAACTTTGGTCAAATCATACCGCTCAAAACTTATACCGCGGGATTAGTTGTCCGTCCACATGAATACTTTTATTAAGATTTATAGTGGATTTATAGTAGATTTATATTAGATTCAAATTATGTAAGTTANGTTCCAGCGAGTGTCATATCAGTCGGATAACCGTCGAATATGATTGCAACCTTTCCTTCGAAGTTATGTTGTACGTATCTGACGTTAATTATTTAATTATTCCGAAATAATTTGTGTCCAAAATTTTTGACTTTATCGATCGATATCTCGATAACGATGCATGATACGCTAAAAATGGTTCGGGCGTTATTGTAGAGCACAAAGAAAGCTACAAAAAGTGTCCTATAAAAATTTTCGAGTCTCATCGGATAGCCGAGTTATTGCCGAAAAACAAATTTTACCCCTTTTTTCAACATGGCGGCGAAAGCTCCTAGGAAAGCTTGGTCGACAATCTCAAGTTAAGCTTTTCTAGGTATCCCCTACAACATATTAAAAAATTAGAAGCGCAAATTCATTTTCTTTTTTGAATGTACGTAATGACTGGACTAAATAGGTAGGTACACCAATTTGTAAATTATAGCATCGTCTCCAAATACGAATATGTGCTATCAGTTGCTTTTCAACTTTGATTTCGTTTCGTCCAGTCAAAGAGAGACTGCTTTGGGAATAACATACGTAGTTGTTTATGATGAAATATATTCGGTTCAGTAAATCCAGTAGCAAGAATAAAATAGCAGTCAAAGTAATGAAACATTAATCTAAAACGTGTTTTATTAAATTAATCAAGTTAAAATAGCTGTCGAATTTCTAACTGCTTCTATACAAGATAATTTCGTATTAAAATGAAACTTACGTATCACACTTGAGGGGATCCAGTGCCCTCAGTCTCGAGCACTAATTCAAGTCCGTTGAGTTAGCGTTTTGGCGGCACCCGACCTTCTCTTTGTAGACAATTTAAAAAGCCCACATAATCTACTTATTTAGTAGTGCGTAGGTAATATTTTTGGATAAGTACATGTATTTTTGGAAAAGAAAATAGAGTTTAGTTCAGTTACCCTTACCAAACAACGTTATTACTTCACTACATGGAATACTTTTTTTCGCCTCACTACGTCGCAAGTATTTTGTCAATGTATAAATACATACATTCACCATAACACAATGTCAAATTTTTTCAAACTAACCTGGATGATGATCAATTGCATCATTTCTTTGGACTAATTTATTTCATTTCACTAAAGAATATATCTGATCATATTTTTTGTATTCAACATAAAGCAAACAACACCGCGTCTGTATGAAACTTCGCGTAATATTACCAGCATATCAAACTAGCAACTCAGTCCCGTTACGTATGGCCCTCGAGAGGTTTCTAGCGCTCTCCGCTCTCCGCCGGAGAACACATTAAACTTCGTCGACTCTGGTTTTGCCAGTTCGCCGGTTAATTTACTATTTTTGGATGCTGCTGCCTTGAGATTATCTCGTCCATATCCTAAAATTCAGTCAGCCGTTCAGGGATATCGATAGATATAAATAAGTCTATACGTCCTGTAACTGGAGACAATGTAAATTTCGGTATAGAAAATATTCAAATATTCAATTTAATGACGATTAAAAAGTCGCATACATAATCTGCTTTACTGTGGTGTATAGCGCAGCTATTTCAAAATATAAAACAAGCATAAATGATGTAGGTTATACACTGTTTTTCTTTCTAAGCTATTCAAAAACCATTTTCACCTGTAACTTTTCAAGTGCCTTGCCTCATTTAGTTTTATGTTCATATCAAAAACCGGGGCTTGCCCCTTTACAAGAATATAACATACTATAATATAAAGAGACAGAAAACTACATTAAAATAAATACGTCCTATAATCCCTGAGGCTGAAGAGCACTCAACCCTCTTTGCGCCAAGCCATTTATATTTGCGTACATTCCAACAAGTTAGGGTACGGAAATGTTTGCTAGTTAAGTATCCTCCTAGAGTAGGAAGGTCCGTTTATTAACATCAATGGTTTTTCAATACACCTTATCTGCGTTTCAATAGTCTTCAATCTATCTCAAAAATTGAGTTAGCTAACTGATTAGATGCAAAAAAAACTGACATAGTTCCTTTCGCGGATTATTCCTCTTCGTTCACCTGGGTGAAAGCAGTGGGATTTTTAGTGTTTTCATTTCACTCTGAACCATTTCACCTAGCTTCATTTTTCATTACATTTCCATGATATGACATGGGTGAAATGAGGACACTAAAAATTCTACTCTTCACCTAGGTGATATCACACAGGCGAACAAAGTGGAATAATCCCCTTTCGCATAATTAGTTTAGTACAGATTGTGAACACAGCTCATTACTTAAGTTGTACACCCATCCACAGATGCACCGGCAGCGGAGCGTGAGCAGTTGTTCGTGCAGAAGCTGCGCCAGTGCTGCCTACTGTTCGACTTCGCGGACGAGCCGCTGTCCGACCTCAAATGGAAGGAGGTGAAGCGAGCCGCGCTGCTGGAGATGGTCGAATACGTCACCTCGCAGCGCGGCGTCATCACAGAGGCGATATACCCGGAGGCTGTGAATATGGTAAGCAAACATGCATTTATATTAGCTGAGCTATTTTATCTGTTACTTCGCGGACGAGCCGCTGTCCGACCTCAAATGGAAGGAGGTGAAGCGAGCCGCGCTGCAGGAGATGGTCGAATACGTCACCTCGCAGCGCGGCGTCATCACAGAGGCGATATACCCGGAGGCTGTGAATATGGTAAGCAAACATGCATTCATATTAGCTGTGCTATTGTCTGTTCGACTTCGCGGACGAGCCGCTGTTCGACCTCAAATTAATGAAAGGAGGTGAAGCGAGCCGCGCTGTTGGAGATGGTCGAATACGTCACCTCGCAGCGCGGCGTCATCACGGAAGCGATATACCCTGACGTTGTGAATATGGTAAGCAAATACACCATGTTTGTTCTCTCTTATTCCTGTCGAAACGACAGAGAAGAATATTGTCTTCTAATTCTAGACTGTAGCGAGAACTCCGGAGTTACGTGGTGACCCATTTCTGTTGATTGCATTAAAAATAAGTCGATCCTTAGTTTCGAACTTCTCCTTTAACCTTCTCAATAATTTCGTTGCGACTATTAAAGTTTAATTTAGATTTAGATTACACTGTCACTGGTTAGGCTTACTCGAATGGGAACATTCCCCCCTCTTGTTCCTACCACTAGAACTCCCTTGTCTTCATATTGAATCCTTAAAATCCAACCACTGAATGCTAGCTCGTCCTGAATGATAAGTAAACTACCACTGGATCACTGGATTTGTTCATAAGCATTTGCGCATCAGCATTCTATTCCTTAGCCTCATATCACACTAAGTCACGATAGCCGAATGGTGAAGGGGTCAGAGTGGCCGACTCGTGATCCGAGGAACGCGGGTTCCTACCCCGCCGTCGTTCGACTATTGTGGTAAGCCCACTAGTGACACAAGCATATTTAGCTTAGTACGAGGGGCTAACGGGAATATTCATCATNCCCATAAATACATACATTCACCATAACACAATGTCAAATTTTTTCAATCCAACCTGGATGATGATTAATTGCATCATTTCTTTGGACTAATTTATTTCATTTCACTAAAGAATATATCTGATCATATTTTTTGTATTCAACATAAAGCAAACAACATCGCGTCTGTATGAGACTTCGCGTAATATTCCCAGCATATCAAACTAGCAACTCAGTCCCGTTACGTATGGGCCTCGAGAGGTTTCTAGCGCTCTCCGCTCTCCGCCGGAGAACACATTAAACTTCGTCGACACTGGTGTTGCCAGTTCGCCGGTTAATTTACTATTTTTGGATGCTGCTGCCTTGAGATTATCTCGTCCATATCCTAAAATTCAGTCAGCCGTTCAGGGATATCGATAGATATAAATAAGTCTATACGCCCTGTAACCTGTAACTGGAGACAATGTAAATTTCGGTATAGAAAATATTCAAATATTCAATTTAATGACGATTAAAAAGTCGCATACATAATCTGCTTTACTGTGGTGTATAGCGCAGCTATTTCAAAATATAAAACAAGCATAAATGATGTAGGTTATACACTGTTTTTCTTTCTAAGCTATTCAAAAACCATTTTCACTTGTAACTTTTCAAGTGCCTTGCCTCATTTAGTTTTATGTTCATATCAAAAACCGGGGCTTGCCCCTTTACAAGAATATAACATACTATAATATAAAGAGTAGAGATGAAACGGATATCCGGTAACTATCCGGTAGGCCGGATATCCGGCCTAAATTTACTATCCGGCCGGATACCGGATAGTAACTCACTATCCGGCCGGATACCGGATATTAAAAAACTACGACAATTTCCTATTAATAAAATGAAATACATTAATCTTTGAGGTAAATATCAATAAGATGGCTTATAATAATGACGGCTTTTATTTAAAGTCCAAAAAGTTACAAAAAAGCCATATTAAAGCCTTTCAAAAAAATAGTTTTTTTTCTGGGCTATTCACTGTAATGACGAATACATAAATTATTAAATATCTGTTAATTGTCGAACGAAATATTGCCAAATAAAAAAGGCGATCTTTTTTTCACTGATGGTCTGATGACATGATGCATGCAGTTCAGTCAGATTACGCAACAAGTAACCTAATTTAATTTTCGCTATTCAATCACACACTCACGATAGCAACCGAAATCGGCCGAATTGATCTGCCCCCAAGACAAGTGGCAAAATCTGACATTCTATTCGGACGGATTCGATTTTCAAAAAGTGTGACTAGTCTAGTCTACTAATAGACCCACTGATCGCGTTCGAAGCACCTATGCGGCGCTAAACTCGTCACGACATGCAACGAGACAATGGGCCAACTATCTGGCCGCCGGATATCCGGCTATCCGGCCTAGCAGCTGGCCGGATATCCGGTATCCGGCCAAACAACTATCCGTTTCATCTCTAATAAAGAGACAGAAAACTACATTAAAATACGTCCTATAATCCCTGAGGCTGAAGAGCACTCAACCCTCTTTGCGCCAAGCCATTTATATTTGCGTACATTCCAACAAGTTAGGGTACGGAAATGTTTGCTAGTTAAGTATCCTCCTAGAGTAGGAAGGTCCGTTTATTAACATCTATGGTTTTTCAATACACCTTATCTGCGTTTCAATAGTCTTCAATCTATCTCAAAAATTGAGTTAGCTAACTGATTAGATGCAAAAAAAACTGACATAGTTCCTTTCGCGGATTATTCCTCTTCGTTGGGAGTGGCAAAGCAGTGGGATTTTTAGTGTTTTCATTTCACTCTGAACCATTTCACCTAGCTTCATTTTTCATTACATTTCCATGATATGACATGGGTGAAATGAGGACACTAAAAATTCTACTCTTCACCTAGGTGATATCACACAGGCGAACAAAGTGGAATAATCCCCTTTCGCATAATTAGTTTAGTACAGATTGTGAGCATAGCTCATTATTAAACTTGTACACCCATCCACAGATGCACCGGCAGCGGAGCGTGAGCAGTTGTTCGTACAGAAGCTGCGCCAGTGCTGCCTACTGTTCGACTTCGCGGACGAGCCGCTGTCCGACCTCAAATGGAAGGAGGTGAAGCGAGCCGCGCTGCTGGAGATGGTCGAATACGTCACCTCGCAGCGCGGCGTCATCACAGAGGCGATATACCCGGAGGCTGTGAATATGGTAAGTAGATATACTTTCGTATTACTGAGCTATTGTCTTCGCGGACGAGCCGCTGTCCGACCTCAAATGGAAGGAGGTGAAGCGGACCGCGCTGCTGGAGATGGTCGAATACGTCACCTCGCAGCGCGGCGTCATCACAGAGGCGATATACCCGGAGGCTGTGAATATGGTAAGTAGATAGCATACATTCACATTAGCTGAGCTATTTTATCTGTCACTTCGCGAACGAGCCGCTGTCCGACCTCAAATGGAAGGAGGTGAAGCGAGCCGCGCTGCTGGAGATGGTCGAATACGTCACCTCGCAGCGCGGCGTCATCACAGAGGCGATATACCCGGAGGCTGTGAATATGGTAAGTAGAAGCACCATGTTTGTTCTCTCTTAATCCTCTCGAAACGACAGAGAAGAAGTTTGTCCTCTAATTCAAGACTGTAGCAAGAACTCCGGAGTTACGTGGTGACCCATTTCTGTTGACTTGAATCCACTTTGCATTGGAAAGAAGTCGATTCTTAGCTTCGAACTCCTGACCTTCTGAATAATTTCGTTACGGCTATGAAAGTTTAATTTAGATTTAGATTATACTGTCACTGGTTAGGCTTATTCGAATAGGACCATTCCCATCTCTTGTCCCTACCACTAGAACTCCCTTGTCTTCATATTGACCCCTTAAAATACAACCAGTGAATGCTAGCTCGTCCTGAATGATAAGTAAACTACCACTGGATCACTGTTGCGCATCAGCATTCTATTCCTTAGCCTCATATCACGCTAAGTCACGATAGCCGAATGGTGAAGGGGTTAGAGTGGCCGACTTGTGATCCGAGGAACGCGGGTTCCTACCCCGCCGTCGTTCGACTATTGTGGTGAGCCCACTCGTGACACAAGCATATTTAGCTTAGTACGAGGGGATAACGGGAATATTCTTTTAAAAAAACTACCAATAAGATTCCAAAACTTAAATTCTCTTCGTTCCACAGTTCGCGATAAACCTATTTCGAACTCTACCTCCGTCATCCAACCCCAACGGAGCGGAGTTCGACCCGGAGGAAGACGAGCCTACACTGGAGGCGGCGTGGCCACACCTGCAGCTGGTCTACGAGCTGTTCCTCAGGCTACTGGAGTCGCCGGACTTCCAGCCCAATATCGCCAAGAAGTATATTGACCAGAAGTTTGTACTACAGGTGAGTTTGAACCTTATGCTTATGTTAAACTACTCGCGAAGTTAGTGTAGACACGCACTTCTCTTCGCGCTACCTGACCTTCGCCTCGCCTCGTCCGACTACCGAAAGTCGTTCGTTTTGCGCCCTAATCAAAGAGCCCAAATTGTTCCAAAGTTTGAACACTGTGTCTGACTACACAAATCGGGTAATTTCGGTACTTCGTCGAAGTGAATAGTGTAGCTGAGGTATTAAAATTCTGTACAAACAATAGAACATCGACTACTAGAATACGAGTCATTACTCGCAAGTGTCGCGCGTATGTCACAGCTGTGGCTTTATTAAGATATCTTCGGTCTATCGGTACTTAAGTAGTTACATTAATGTAATCTCAGCTCGTCAGCTTTCTAGCTTAGAAACAGGAATAGAGCATAGTACTGTCGCTAGCAGAACTGATTAATCTATACTAATATTATAAATGCGAAAGTAACTCTGTCTGTCTGTCTGTCTCTCTCTCTTTCACGCCTAAACCACTGAACCGATTTTGATGAAATTTGGCATAGAGATAGCTTGAGTCCCGGGAAAGGACATAGGATAGTTTTTATCCCGGGTTTTGAAAGAGGCACGCGCGTGATAAAGTTTTTCTGTGACAGACAAAATTCCACGCGGGCGAAGCCACGGGTGGAAAGCTAGTATTGAATAATAGCACCTATTAGAATTTCAAAAGAACCACAAACTGGGCATCAGTTTGTTGTGGTGAACCGCATTAAATGTGTCTACTATTGATGGACAACTAATGATTGTGACAAATACATTAATCACTAAAGTCATTTAGAAAGCATAAGTAAATTGGATGACTAAATTAATTATGTTAACTTTTCCTTATTGGATATGAATTATTATCGAAGCCGTATTTTTTCTTATTCTTCGTAATTTGATCAAATACTAAAAATAGAGGTTATAGTTTTAAAATTGACATAATAGAGCTTAACCACATGCCTATCAGCAAAAATGTTGACAACAATCCCCTAAATATCTAGTACAAAGTGCAATATTGCTATCAATTACCATGCATGTTGTGGTTACTACCCACAAATTGAACCGGTATGCACCAACAAACCGCTCGCTAATGGTACCCTCAAAATAATACTTGCTTGTATGAAGCCTGCGGTTAAAAATGCGCCCTTGACCACCACCATTATGAATAATACAGCACACACTTCGATTTCTGTGTTTACTGTTTGATACCCCACTCGGGCTGTCAATTCATGAATAAATAATGTCCGGGCACATCGAGGTATATTTGGGCATCTTACGTGGTTGTAATAGGTACTATTTTTCAACAGAAATGTGTATACTGATGTGCTTTATACGTAACATTCGGACGTCTAATGCTTTAATATTGGTTAGTGGTTTTATAACTCCCTTAGCAGGAAGAATACTCACTGTCCATTGTGACGTCACGCCGCCCTTGACCCTTTGAATAATAAAACCTATGCCGTTAAGGTTTATGTGTTTTTGACTCGATATCTTTAGGGTTGCTTCGTGCGTGTGTCTTCTTTTCTCTCTTTTCTTCGTAAGTGCTCTGTATGAGACGAAAGTCTGAATTTAACGAGCAGCATCTTCAATTGGCTCATTTACTTGAGACGTGTGTATGTGAAAATACCTATCTCGTTTTATTTACTGAACAACAAAAGCTCAACCGTTTTTACGAAGTGCAGATGTAGACACAATATTTTATATTCAGGAATCAGCTTCTAGACGTACACGGCTTGTGTATTCAGCTACGTCTGCATTAGAGAATGTGTATCGGAAATGGTTTCGGCATAAGTACTGAAGTAACTGGAAGATGCCGATAGATGGCCCACTTACATTTCAACTTTTGACTATTTGTCCTCATATTTACAAAGAAGCAAAATTATGTTTGTAATAGAATAGAAAAAAGCGTTCTGCTTTCGCTCTCTACATGAAGACTGAAAAAAGAAAAGTAACAGGTAACAGCCCCACCACATATGAGGCGCCAAAATACGCCTATCTCTGTGTTAGAGCACTGAAATTTACTTACAATACCATCGATGCCGTGAGCGTAAAGAAAGTTTTTGGCCTTTTACTCTGAATTGTCTTGTTTTGTATACCTAATAAAATAAATAAAATAAGATAAAAATTCGACGATTATTATAAGACGCTAATGTATCATTTTTGGCGACTCCCCAGTCGATTGCAGTATCAAAATCAACTTCGACTGACATTCCTTGTTTACTCCACTCATCAATATCAGGTAGCAGCCCTACAAACTCACCGTCAGCTTTCGCTAATGAAGCGCCGCGACACGCCCATCGAAGTAACGGCACTGAAACTCACGGCACAGCCTATACATTTTTGTTCCAATATGGCACCTATTGCAATATCATAAGATGCTACAGTGTTAAGCTTGATGTGACGCCGTCCGTACACGATCGCCTTAACAATCTTATTATAAACGCTGATTGCGCCAGCTGATATGCTGCCGTAAGTGCAAATAGAAGTTCATTAAGTTCAGGTGAGGTTAGGGTTAGTTATTAATGACGTATTTTTATAAAAATTGTTCTTCTTAATTTTACCTTAAGTTTAGGGGGACTTCCAAGTAATATGGTTCTGATCAGACATAATTTTGATTTCCTAATGGTGCGTTTACACGGCGCATGTTAGAAACATCTTTAAATTATGTCAAGCACATGTAAAAATGAAAGGAATTTGTCTTAATGTTAAATATGTATAGTAAATGAGAATGTTAGTGAGAATGGAAATGTTGCAATAGGATTGTTTAATCCGCCGTATCACCTTACGGCTAGCCCTTTTGAAATGCGGCGTTTCAACGATTTCCTTACTCAAAAAGTACTGGACGGATTTTGATGAAACTATAAATCATTACTGATAATATCACATCTAGGCCATATTAATATCATAGAATAATAATGTAATTAAGAAAAATCTTACACATACCGTTTCTATTTCAGTTACTAGAGCTGTTCGACTCGGAGGACCCTCGCGAGCGCGACTTCCTAAAGACAACACTTCACAGGATATACGGCAAGTTCCTAGTTCTCCGCGCCTACATACGGAAACAAATCAACAACGTGTTTTATAGGTAAGTTATGAACAACATTACACTGTACAAATTTTAATGCACTGTAAAGGGCCTTTATACAAATAAATATTTAGATTTTGTCTTTGGTCATTGAAAATATTCGGACCAATTGGCATCCTAAGCCTATATTATAGTAGCATCACTTTATCTTTTTAACTGAACTGATTTTAAAAACGATAAAAGACTTCAAGTCTGAATTATCGTCAGTAGGTAGTAACCAAACCACTGCACGAAGTGATTTTTTCGTTTGCGAATGCAAAAGGTTCTATCACCAAATTTTCTTTAATAAAGCAACTAGATAAAAGATAACATCCTCGATTTTGGGTATAATTGCTCATGCTCATCACACTAACATTTGCCCCCTCCGCGATTTGCACCCGCAACTATAGGACTTAATCTTCTCTATAAACTTTGTTCTACTAATTATGCCTATAGAGAGAGTTTTACATCGCGAGACTTCCCTAGCACGGTTTGCTATCGGTGAATGCAACAAGCTAAATTGTATTGCAATGGAAATAGCGTGGAAATGAAACGTCGTCCACACTCGCAGCCACGTTGTAAATGCAGAGGCCTACTATGTAATAATACATATGTATAGTCCGCAAAGAGGTTCCGATATATTTCATATTTATCACGACTCTATTCGTCTTTTTCTCTCACCTTTATTGTCATGAGCCAGATATAGGTTTATTTTAGGTCATGCGTTTTATTGTGACTTTATAGGTGACCCGTGAGTTACGTAAAGAATCGTTCAATATGAACTAGGTAAGATATTCATTGAATTTTTTTTATGTATAGAGTAGTTTTCTATCTGCTTAGATCTTTGTAATATTGAATCAACTTGATTTTTTGAAAATAAATATAATGCCTTACTGTCTACCCTACTACTCTACAGAGTTTGTTGGTAGGATAGAATCAAAACTACTAACTTCTGAAAGCACGTTACTTCGTGCGGTTCGTGTAATTGTCATAGAACGTCGTTAGGGAAATATTTCAGTCTGAGGCTATCAAGTTACAGTAGAAAAGACCTTGTAATACAATATAGGTGTCCAACAATCGAAACGATTTTCCCATAGTTATATCCTAATGGCCACTTGACTTATTCTCAATCGATAATAACGATCGGTTGGCGCTGTTCCTCCATTGTGACGCATCTGTAATAGCTCACAATAGCTCAGCCGGACCTTTTTTGTGCTATTACAGATTCGTCATATACCTACTTATCTTCTGCGACTATTATAGAACAATCAGAGTCCAAATAAAGTTTTTCTCCGCATTGCGTAAGTTAAATAAATGTCAGCTCAATGACACTGGCCGCGTGAAGGTGTTTGTTTTGTCCCAGCGTCAATAGTGAATCTTTATATACGCGCATTGGACTTACTAATGTTTACATAAATGAATGTAACAAAGTAGTTTATAATACATCTGTGTTAGAATTTAGATAAGGTTCCAAATGATCCAGAGACGAGCAAACTGTTTTGAAGGTTTGATTGATTCCGATTTGAATACGAATCAAGTACAGTTTTATAGGAATCGTTAATTCGATATCCTGTGAATTTGAGATTAACTTAAGATACTCCCAGCCTTGGTTACCTCCTTTTGAATTCACGTTCCAATAATTTAGCCCACTGATAACCAACATGGTAGCCTCTATATTCAGCAGTAAACGTCCTGAATGATGATAATAAATGCCACAACAAGGCCTCTCGTGGAAGACCAGTTTCTTGACATGCTCTTACGAGCACATCATGATAAATACTGAGCGGCCTATTGACGCAGTGGCCCACTATTTTCTGTATTCGTTTTGTGTTATTATTGTTTCATAATTTGTGCTTACTGTGATCAATCATCATTATCATTTCAGCCACAGGACGTCCACTGCTGAAGATAGGCCTCCCCCAATGACTTCCACATCGCACGGTTGGTAGCGGCCTGTATCCAGCGCCTTTATCAGGTCGTCGGTCCACCTTGTGGGTGGACGTCCCACGCTGCGTTTTCCGATACGCGGCCTCCATTCCAGAACCTTGCTGCCCCATCGGCCGTCAGTTCCGCGTACTATGTGCCCTGCCCACTGCCACTTCAGCTTGCTAATCCGTCGGGCTATGTTAGCGACTGTGATCAATATCTATTCAATTTTATTCTTTTGTACAGGTTTATCTACGAGACAGAGCACCATAACGGCATCGCGGAACTGCTGGAGATTCTTGGCTCCATCATCAATGGGTTCGCGCTGCCGCTCAAGGAGGAGCACAAACTCTTCTTGCTCAGGGTAAAGTATCAAAAATCTGCAATTTGTTATGAAAGAATTACTGCCTTTTTAGATATTACTTTCAGCTTTACATCTGGAGCTTATGGATTGTGAAAGACTTGCCGATTTCGTCCAAACGATATATTTTTAGCAAGCACTGAAATTATACAGATACTCTTAGAACTTCTGAGTAGCTGCTCCTTTTATACTACTACTACTGGGTCACCTTTGGAACTCTGTTGACCAACGACCAGTGAAGGTCGCGGAAAGCACCTAGATACGTACAGAAGTTTTACTTCGCGAAGGTATTTAAAAAAATGTATGCTCAATGTCATTAACAATATGGTGTAATTTAGTCTGTCTCAAGAGTCAAGCACCATTTTGTTGACAAACGTCAGTGATCGGCACTGCGCCGAAGCTATAGGGCTGACTTCGGTATAATGATGTGAAGTGAGGTGCCAAACTGCGGAAAATGGCGGAGGAAATATGATTTAGCATGAATTATCATGAATAAATAATAATTTACTACTTATTTACCTCTCAGTGTCTTGAGGCAACTTAAAAAAGTACATTCTGTCTTTTTATTATTATTTAGGCAGTTAAATACTGCACAGTATTTAGTACACCATTTTCTTTATTTTCTTTGATCATACACAAGAACGCGTGCGTGAGTCAATGTTCGCTCGTATGTGAGGCCTTGTCGAATAGTATCCTGTAGGTGGGCCATCGTGCGTATTTTGTTTTCGATGTAAACTCGCGGAGATGAACAGGCCTGGTACGGGCTTCTGTCCAGCAGTGGACGGAATTCGCTTGAAACGAACCTTTAGAACTAGAGCTAACTTTAGAACTAGCGCTATAGCGCTCAACTAAAGTAAGTGCCTGAGGTATGGGAGCGTTACTGGGGGGTGACATTGACATATTAGATTTTTTTTTTGTATTTGTACTATTTTTCACCGCCTACTTAAATTCTCTGTTTTGTCTAATTTTCTGGTTAGCTGGAAGAGAATGCCACACGGCATTAAGCTCGCCTGTTGTACCACTGTTTTTTTATGTGTGCAATAAAGATTTTAAATAAATAAATAAATAATATTATGACGTGACAGAGCATACAGATCTGAAGGAAATCTGATGTCTCGCTAACGTTTGACCGTCACAAAAACACCTTCCCGTGCCGCTCTCATGCCTCAGGAACGAACTCATTTAGTAGGCGCGCACACCGTTGATTTTTAGTTCGCCGATAGTTGTGCCCGATTTTAATACGAGGGCGGCACTGAAAATTTCGGGAATCAAGGAAGTGAAACAACATTACTATTTAAAATGTATTTATTGCTTTTTTTAAATATTCTCCGCGAAATTTGACACATTTTGCCATACACAAAACCAATCATTAAAGCAACCATTCCATTCGGAAGTTTGGGTCTCCAAAATGGCCGTTTTGTGGGCGTCCACAGCTTTTCAGGTGATGAAAATCTCTGACCACGCAATTTATTCTTTATTTTAGGGAAAGTATAGAAATCATTAGGGCTTAGGTCGGGGCTGTACGGTGGATGGTCTAATATTTCTATGTTTTCTTGCTCTAAAAACTCCTTTGTCCTGTGCGCGGTGTGAGAACTCGCATTGTCGTAATGGAGGATGATGCGGCGGTTGCAGTTCTCTTTACGGAGTTCAGAAACGACCTGTGGCAAACAAATGCTAGCATACCATTCTGCATTAACCGTTCGTTGTCCCCCAAGAGGAATAGTCGCAACATGGCCGGTTTTGGAGACAAACGTGGCCACCATTTTTTATGCAACACTCCGTGAACGAACAATTTTTGTTGGCTTTAACTCATTTTCGAACACCCAAACTCGTGACTGGTTTTTTGTTTCGGGTTCGTACGCGTATATCCAGGATTCGTCACCTGATACGATGTTGTATACAGCATTTGAGGATCCTGCATGTAATCTTCCGAGAGTTCTGACGCACCAAGTAACGCGAGCCGCTTTTTGCTCTTCACAGAGCGAATGCGGTATCCATCGGGAAAACAACTTTTTTACACCTAATTGTTCATGCAAGATTATTTGTGTTTGACTCATGCCAATGTCTAAAGTTGCCTGAATTTCGCGGTATGTCACATGTCGATCTTCTTCAATCAGCTTACGCACAGCATCGACGTTTTCTTGGGTGACTGCAGTTTTTGGACGACCTTGACGGGGATCATCACTGAGCTTGACACGTCCACGTTGAAATTCAGCAAACCAGCGATAAATTGTGGTTTTGGATGGAGTTTCATTACCAAATGCAGAAATCATCCGGTCAACACACTGTTTTTGTGTTAAACCACTCCGAATGTCAAAATAAATCATCGCTCTTGAATTTTCTCGAGTCAATTCCATTTTCTCAACGACTAAACAAGTTTCACAAGACCTTGTGATAAGACCGAGAATCTTTTTTTAAATAAATAAATGGTATTCAATTTTTAAAACCCAGGAGTTTGCAATTAAAAAGATTTTAATATGATAGGAACAGTGGAAATATTCCATTCCCGATACTTTTAGTGCAGCCCTCGTATGTATGCAGAATCGGCCAAATCGAACCGGCGTAGTGTGCGCACTCCCATATATGCCCATACTGATCAACTGCCCGACTAAACTATCGGCCGACGAAAAATCAACGGTGTGCGCCTACTCTTAAGCGCTAGCTAGACCTATAGTTACTTATATCTGACACCGCCAAGTTCTAACTGAGGTTATTTGTTCCAGGTACTACTACCCCTGCATAAAGCCAAGTCGCTGTCGGTGTACCACGCGCAGCTGGCCTACTGCGTGGTGCAGTTCCTGGAGAAGGACCCCTCCCTGACGCAGCCCGTAGTTAGGTGAGCAGGAAAACAGTCTTTACTGTCTTATGCTACGGATGAAAGTTGTGTGTGACATTGCAATAACTGAGTAACGACAGTGTTGGTACTTGTATAGTTATCAAATATTTAAACTTGTCTTCATCATATAAAATTATGTGTATTATTGTGATACAATTGAGTATTTAATGAAAGCACAAATCAATTCACATACTTTTTATGACCTATGAGTATGACCGTTGACCACAGTTGTTCAGGAACTCAGTTCATCAACTATTTATTGATGTCAAAGCAATTAAATATCACAATTACAATTAATTGAAAGCTAAATAGCTATAATAAAGCCGGTAGATCAATTTATCATGACTTCTACGCTTCCAAGTCAAGGTATTAGCTATGCTACATTGGCAAATCACTCAACTAAAAACTCTTTTTCCACAGAGCGTTATTAAAATACTGGCCCAAAACACACTCGCCCAAAGAGGTGATGTTCCTGAACGAAATGGAAGAAATACTGGACGTGATCGAGCCAGCCGAGTTCCAGAAGATCATGGACCCGCTGTTCCGGCAGCTGGCCAAGTGTGTGTCCAGCCCGCACTTTCAGGTCAGTGTGTGCTCTATGGCGTAGGTAATAGAGGCGATGTTCCTATGAGATAGAAGAGATACTGGCCAAATGTGTGTCCAGTCCACACTTCCAAGTCAGTGTATACTGGCCAAGTGTGTGTCCAGTTCACACTTCCAGGTCATTGTGTGCTCTATGGCGTAGGTAATAGAGGCGATATTCCTACGAGACTCCTCCGTCTCGTCCTCAGTATCTCCTGATACTGGCCAAGTGTGTCCAGCCCGCACTTCCAGGTCAGTGTGTGCTCTATGGCGTAGGTAATAGAGGCGATGTTCCTATGATACGGAGGAGATACTGGCCTAGCGTGTGTCTAGCCCGCACTTCCAATTAAGTGTGTGCTCTATGGCGTAGGTAATAGAGGCGATGTTCCTATGAGACGTAAGGAGATACTGGTCAAATGTGTGTCTAGCCCGCACTTCCAGGTCAGTGTGTGCTCTATTGCGTAGGTAATAGAGGTGATGTTCCTACGAGACGGAGGAGATACTGGCCCAGTGTGTATCCAGTCCACACTTCCAAGTCAGTGTGTGCTCAATTGCGTAGGTAATAGAGGTGATGTTCCTACTAGACGGAGGAGATACTGGCCAAGTGTGTGTCCAGTCCACATTTCCAAGTCAGTGTGTGCTCTATGGCGTAGGGTAATAGAGGTGATATTCTTACCCAGATGGAGCTCTTAAGATCATGGGCACTTCTAGATCAGTTGTATGTGCTCTATGATCCAGGTAATAAGGTCTAATTTAGTAAAAATCACGGGATTCAATCTTATCACAACAACATGATGAAATCAATATGCCGTAATGAAACAATATCCCAATAAACAATATTCGTACGTACACAAACACAGTTTGTGTAACAAACCGCGAAAACGAACGCAAACATCCCATATCGAGTTACATTGCCCGTAATATCTGACAAATACTTGCTAAAGGAAACCTCCTGGATGTAGGGTTGCCCTCTTGCCCTCTATTATGAATCACTAAAGCAAATGAGAGATAAATAAATTTTTATTTTTTTCCTTATCGAGACCAAATCTGAAAAAAAAAAAATCTGCAACTTATAATGATGATGGTGCGCTAAACACTTTTCAATTGACATTAGCGATTTTATCACGGACAAATATGAAGCATTTTACACTACACTGCACTGAGTTGCAACTGTATCAACACCTTGTACCGGATCCTTGTACCGGATTTGTTCTCACTTTTCAAATTGGTGAAATATGCATTTCTATGAAAGCGCCAGAAATACTAAGTTGGACGTTTTGACGTAAGAAAATTTGACGAGTTACTACACACCTCTATCTTGTGGCAATATCCTAACACTATTTCCTAAGCAATTCCGTCCTGCAAGACCATGACATGCGTTTGTTTTTTTAATTATTTTTTTATTCACAACGAGGAAGCTCTTGGCCTGTATCTCACCTGATGGTAAGTGATGATCAGGCCGAAGGTGGAAGCGAGCTTCACCCGGAATCCTCAACCACGGAGGAACTGGCTATCTTACCTCTAACTGTCGGAAGACAACAATGCTGTGTTGTTATGGCGACAGACTTAGGTAAGATGGTGGTAGCTAGCCAGGCGGACTTAGAACAAGCCCTACCACCAACCAAACCGATTTATTTATTTGTTTCTTATTGCCATGGCCTTCTGCCTTGCCAATAAATAATCTATTTCCTGCCTTACCGAATAACCATCTATTAGATCCTTACCAAATAACGGTATAGTTATTCACTATCGTTAATTCAGACGTTGACGTCACAAATCCTGGTTACCCCGGAACATTGGCAACCCTACCACTGGCGCGGCGCCAGCCGGTTTATTAGTTGATTGTTACATTTATACGAAAATGCCGTCGTGAATCTTGCTTATTCCGCATCGTGTCGACGCTCTGGGTAATCAAAATATTTATTGGGGGTTGAAGTATAGTTGGCACATCTAGTTAAACTCAGAACTTATGTATTTGAAATAAGGGCGATGTTGCTCTGAAAATTTGACGAGCTGTCGACTGTGCATTGTAAAATCGTACGTATTAGAAAGCGGTGGTAATCCCTCGACACCTTTTTTCGTTACCATGCATAGTAAAAATATTATCTACAGCAGGGTTTCCCAATTTTTTTTTGCCAAGGAACCCTAATTGATTATACTTTTCCTAGCGGAACCCCCGTACTACTCTGCCCGCACGCCCTGCTCCTCCCTTGTGCGTAAACAAGTCGGTGCGAGCGAACAACGTCGGTCACGAAACGTGGGATAGTATTTTTTACGGAACCCTTGCGGCCTTTCCACGGAACCCCAGGGTTCCGCGGACCACCATTCGGGAACCGCTGATCTACAGAACCGTCATCCTTGATGCAATGCAGTAGCGCTTTACGGATTGACCTAGTAACGAAGATCTTTTTTAGGCTAGTTCTATCGTGTATATTGCTTTTAAAAGCAGATCAGACCCATAACGGCTTAAAAATACTGACAGATTTAAGGATGTATTTAAACGCTCATCATATAGAAACACTACCTCCGGCTGAAACTGTTGTATCCTTTGTAATTTTAATCTGTTGTGCTGTCCTCAGAACAATAAAAAAATATATGTTATAATTTTTGTCCACAGGTGGCCGAAAGAGCATTATACTACTGGAACAACGAGTACATAATGTCGCTTATATCCGACAACGCGACGTACATCCTGCCGATCATGTTCCCCTCTCTGTACCGGAACACGAAGAGCCATTGGAACAAGACCATACACGGGCTGGTGTACAACGCTCTCAAATTGTTCATGGAGATGAACCAGAAGCTCTTCGATGAGTGCACGCAGCAGTACAAGCAGGAGAAGCAGAAGTGAGTCGTGTCTGTTTATGTTCCGGAACATTTGTAGCCACTGGAACATTTTTAACACAAGGAACAGTTTTTTTTTGTCTTATTATGTTCTGGAAAATAACTAGCCATTATTATACCAGTTAACAGCTCAAGTTTTCAAAAATAAATTACAGCTATTTAAAATTTCTTATCATCATCATCATCATCATTTCAGCCATAGGACGTCCACTGCTGAACATAGGCCTCCCCCAATGCTTTCCATGTTGATCGATTGGCAGCGGTCTGCGTCCAGCGCTTCCCTGCTACCTTTACGATGTCGTCGGTCCACCTTGTAGGTGGACGTCCCATGCTGCGTTTTCCGGTACGCGGCCTCCATTCCAGAACCTTTCTGCCCCATCGGCCGTCAGTTCTGCGTACTATGTGCCCTGCCCATTGCCAAAAATTTCTTATAATGCGTAACAAATATCAAATAAGAGTTGAGAAGCAACTAAAAAACTATACCACGGAAACACTATGTGCGAATGAAATATGATTCATCCAGCACGTGGGGAGTGTAGGCCAAACTCGTCGTGATCCTGCAGTGGCGTTAGCTGAAGATGAATTAATTTTATGTTCTATTTATCAGGGAACGCGAAAGGATGATTCAAAGAGAGGAGGTGTGGCAGCAATTAGAAGCGCGCGCCGCCTCCAATCCCGCCTATAGAGACGCGGCCACGGCGCGCGCGCCGCCCGACTTGCCTGGCGATGAACCTACTGTCGATCTCACTTATCAACGCGTGGAACAGGGCGCTAAGGAGGTAAGACTTAAGCTGCTAATAGCATAAGATATAGGAAAACAAGTTACGGTGGGTTTAGGACTGCTAGGCTTTGTGTAGCTCTCCTTAGAAGGCAGTAACTAAGCGCGCGCCGCCTCCAATCCCGCCTATAGAGACGCGGCCACGGCGCGCGCGCCGCCCGACTTGCCTGGAGATGAACCTACTGTCGATCTCACTTATCAACGCGTAGAACAAGGCGCTAAGGAGGTAAGACTTGAGCTACTAGTAGCTAGGGAAACAAATGAGAGTGGCCTTAGGTGACTAGGCTCCGTGTAGCTCTCCATAGAAGGCATTAAATAGAAGCGCGCCGCCTCCAAGTCCACCTACAGAGGACTGACTTGCCTGGAGATGAACTTACTGTCGATCTCACTTATCAACGCGTGGAACAGGGCGCTAAAGAGGTAAGACTTGAGCTACTAGTAGCTAGGGAAACAAATGAGAGTGGCCTTAGGTGACTAGGCTCCGTGTAGCTCTCCTTAGAAGGCAGTAACTAAGCGCGCGCCGCCTCCAACCCCGCCTATAGAGACGCGGCCACGGCGCGCGCGCCGCCCGACTTGCCTGGAGATGAACCTACTGTCGATCTCACTTATCAACGCGTGGAGCAGGGCGCTAAGGAGGTAAGATATAGGCTACGAGTGGCATTAGATATAGGGAAACAAATGACTATAGGCTTAAGTGGCTAGGCTTCATGTAGCTCACCTTGGAAGGCAGGAATTAGAAGTGCGCGCCGCCTCCAATCCCGCCTACAGAGACGCGGCCACGGCGCGCGCGCCGCCCGACTTGCCTGGAGATGAACCTACTGTCGATCTCACTTATCAACGCGTGGAGCAGGGCGCTAAGGAGGTAAGACTTGAGCTACTAGTAGCTAGGGAAACAAATGAGAGTGGCCTTAGGTGGCTAGGCTTTATGTAGCTCTCCTTAGAAGGCAAAAACTAGAAGCGCGCCGCCTCCAAGTCCACCTACAGAGACGCGGCCACGGCGCGCGCGCCGCCCGACTTGCCTGGAGACGAGCCCACTGTCGATCTCACTTATCAACGCGTGGAACAGGGCGCTAAGGAGGTAAGATATGGCTACAAGTGGTTTGGGATATAGGGGAATACGTAATAGTGGGTTTAAGTGGCTAGGCTCCGTGTAGCTCTCCTTAGAAGGAATTTAATAGAAGCGCGGCCAAGGCGTGCGCGCCGCCCGACTGGCCTGGAGACGAGCCCACTGTCTCACTTATGAGCGCGTAATAAAAACGGGAGTTTAGGCATGCTCTTTCTTAAGAGGGTAAGACTGGTGTGGTGTACTGAATGGACGTACAGTGAACCTTGCTTTCCTACCTACCAGCTCATGGAGTAAGGGCTCAAGCAGCTTTCAGAACGCCCCATTACACCCGTTATTCATAAGAGGCCCATGAAGGAACGTTGAATCTGACTTGAAAACAGGAGGTTAAACAGGAGGGAAGTATTTGGGCAATAACTATCCCAAAATATAGGAACAAATGAAACTATCATATGAAGGAGACCCGATAGTTTCGTCACGTATAACTTTTTACCACAAATCATTAACAAAAACTATTCTCGTCCCCAGGCGCGGAAGCAAGGCTACAACGCCAGCAAGCCGCTCCTCCGCAAGAAGTCCGAACTGCCCGCGGACACTTCCACCGTCAAAGCGCTCATCGAACACAAGCGCGCCGACGCCTTCCTTCCCACCCCGCCAGACGTCAACCAGTGCTAGCTAGCGCACGTACACGTACACGATAACGGGGACGTACACGTGCACAATAACGGGGACGTACACGTGCACGTGCACGAAGAGATACACGTGGAAAGGTTGCGCGCGACTTTAGGGGTACACAATTGGCTGCAAGTGACGGTAAACTACAGGTTGCGAGACGAGGTATACGTAAAAGGGATTGATAGATTGATAACGGATATGCTTATGGTGAATGTAAAGGAACACGCGAGGGACGTAAACGCAAAGATACAACACTATGAATTCACAGAAAATAGGATGTGCGTTAGTGCTTTCGGTTACTGGTTTCCTAAATTCTGTTCGAATATGAAACACAGTGCGTTACAGGTAAATGGGCTAAACAATAAACTACACGACAATAGAATCACAGATAGACTATACACTGGCATATACCTGCTTAATTCTCTTACTAGCAGCGTACACGATTGTAGCTATCTTGTACACACTTGCCCAACATAACGAAAGCGTTAGAGGTGACTTTAGTAAGCTAAAGATCGCATTTCAAAGAAAATATACTTTTTAATTTATGTCTCTCACAAATTTGTAGCATGTCTTTCAGTGTGCTTTTTAGGCATTTTTATAGCTGGAATTTACTTAAATTGCAAGAATATAGTTTGTAAATTAACTTTTTTTTTTGTTTGATTAGGTACAATCATTACCACTACATACGTATAAATAACGTTTGCGATAACATTGAATAGATAGATACTGATGATTATAGAAATAGATAGGATAATTGTTGGCTATAACATTGTCAAATTACGGCCAAGCCTTGAGTGCTATATACAATAACTCGTGGTTAGATAGATTTGGTATTGACATATTCATACATTGTAAATAGTTTTAAAAGTTGATATTTATCTATGTTATTGTAAACTATACAACATACAATATTAATGTTCTTAATACATGCGTAATCTTTACAACTTTTTTAGTAGCAATATCTGGTTAAATTTTTCTTTTTCAAACATTGCTGAAGTGTATTGTGTTCATATTATGAAATTAACAATCACATAAAGTACAAATATTTCAGTTAATGTTAAATAAATAAATTCGATGCTATTGTCTAATATAAGCTATACGTAACACTGACGCGTGCCTCTTTCAACAACTACCCTCCTTCTTTTTAAGGGTCTGGCTACACTTGTACGCCATTTTATCTTATAACTAGAAAAATTTACCGTTTGCCCTAGGAATAAAGTCGTTTGTTCTTTGCTGTGGGAACCCACGCCATATGTTATTATAGATGACCCACGCTGAACTGTCCCGCCAAACTCAATGACAGGGGGGCGCTACCATCGTTCAACTTTATGGTTTCCAATATGGCAAAAATCGGAACCAGCTCAACCAGCGATTCGGTATTGACGGTGGCGCCCCGCTGTCAATGTCATCGGTAGGATAGTTCAGTATTTTGGAACTATAACTCGATGCTAAAGAAAGCCAACCAATGTAGTTCATGCCCGAATTGAATTTATAAGTGTTGTTTCGTATTTTACCAGAGCTAAGTAAAGCGTTTACGTGTTTAGGATGTTAGTTAATGAAATGTTACTTAAAAAAGCACTTTTACACGTCCCAGTATTAACCATACCACTACCGACTATGATTCAACCAGGGTGGGGAGTGTAGTCCACACTCCGTTATTTTGCCTCTACTAAATTATAAATATTCGTGATCTTTCAGTGGCGACTTAATTACCTGATGATGAATTAATTTTATGTTCTATTTATCAGGGAACGCGAAAGGATGATTCAAAGAGAGGAGGTGTGGCAGCAATTAGAAGCGCGCGCCGCCTCCAATCCCGCCTATAGAGACGCGGCCACGGCGCGCGCGCCGCCCGACTTGCCTGGAGATGAGCCCACTGTAGATCTCACTTATCAGCGCGTAGAACAGGGCGCTAAGGAGGTAAGATATAGGCTACAAGTGGTTTGGGATATAGGGGAATACGTAATAGTGGGTTTAAGTGGCTAGGCTTTGTGTAGCTCTCCTTAAAAGGCAGCAATTAGAAGCGCGCCGCCTTCAACCCCGCCTATAAAGACGCGGCCACGGCGCGCGCGCCACCCGACTTGCCTGGAGATGAACCTACTGTCGATCTCACTTATCAACGCGTAGAGCAAGGCGCTAAGGAGGTAAGATATAGGCTACAAGTGGTTTGGGATATAGGGGAATACGTAATAGTGGGTTTAAGTGGGTAGGCTTTGTGTAGCTCTCCTTAGAAGGCAGTAACTAAGCGCGCGCCGCCTCCAACCCCGCCTACAGAGACGCGGCCACGGCGCGCGCGCCGCCCGACTTGCCTGGAGATGAACCCACTGTCGATCTCACTTATCAACGCGTGGAACAAGGCGCTAAGGAGGTAAGACTTGGGATATAGAGGGACTAAGATCAGTGGGCATAGGTGGGTAGGTTCTATTTATCTTTCTTCAGAAGATAAGACAGGTATACTAGGAAACGCAAGCACAGCGCACGCGCCGCCCGAAAGCTCATGAATCAGTACTATCAACTTCATTTTCAAATTGGTAGCCGAACGTTCTGGGGGGATACCAGAGCATTCTGAGGGGATTCCAGAGCATTCTGAGGGGATACCAGAGCATTCTGAGGGGATACCAGAGCATTCTGAGGGGATACCAGAGCATTCTGAGGGGATACCAGAGCATTCTGAGGGGATACCAGAGCATTCTGAGGGGATACGAGAGCTTTCTGGGGGAGGCCACGACCACCCGGTTCCCCCGCTGTATACGCGCATGGGTGAGACTTGAGCTACTAGTAGCTAGGGAAACAAATGAGAGTGGCCTTAGGTGACTAGGCTCCGTGTAGCTCTCCTTAAAAGGCAGCAACTAGAAGCGCGCCGCCTCCAATCCCGCCTATAGAGACGCGGCCACGGCGCGCCCGCCGCCCGACTTGCCTGGAGATGAACCTACTGTCGATCTCACTTATCAACGCGTGGAACAAGGCGCTAAGGAGGTAAGATATAGGCTACGAGTGGCATTAGATATAGGGTAACAAATGACTATAGGCTTAAGTGGGTAGGCTTTGTGTAGCTCTCCTTAGAAGGCAGCAACTAGAAGTGCGTCGCCTCCAACCCCGCCTATAGAGACGCGGCCACGGCGCGCGCGCCGCCCGACTTGCCTGGAGATGAACCTACTGTCGATCTCACTTACCAGCGCGTAGAACAAGGCGCTAAGGAGGTAAGATATAGGCTACGAGTGGCTTTAGATATAGGGAAACAAATGACTATAGGCTTAAGTGGGTAGGCTTTATGTAGCTCTCCTTAGAAGGCAGTAACTAAGCGCGCGCCGCCTCCAATCCCGCCTATAGAGACGCGGCCACGGCGCGCGCGCCGCCTGACTTACCTGGAGATGAACTTACTGTCGATCTCACTTATCAACGCGTGGAACAAGGCGCTAAGGAGGTGTGACTTAAGCTGCTAGTAGCATAAGATATAGGAAAACAAGTTACGGTGGGTTTAGGTGACTAGGCTCCGTGTAGCTCTCCTTAGAAGGCAGTAACTAAGCACGCGCCGCCTTCAATCCCGCCTACAGAGACGCGGCCACGGCGCGCGCGCCGCCCGACTTGCCTGGAGACGAGCCCACTGTAGATCTCACTTACCAACGCGTAGAACAAGGCGCTAAGGAGGTAAGATATAGGCTACAAGTGGTTTGGGATATAGGGGAATACGTAATAGTGGGTTTAAGTGGCTAGGCTCCGTGTAGCTCTCCTTAAAAGGCATTAAATAGAAGCGCGGCCAAGGCGTGCGCGCCGCCCGACTGACCTGGAGACGAGCCCACTGTCTCACTTATGAGCGCGTAATAAAAACGGGAGCTTAGGCATGCTCTTTCTTAAGAGGGTAAGACTGGTGTGGTGTACTGAATGGACGTACAGTGAACCTTGCTTGCGTACCTACCAGCTCATGGAGTAAGGGCTCAAGCAGCTTTCAGAACGCCCCATTACACCCGCTATTCATAAGAGAGGCCCATGAAGGAATGTTGAATCTGGCTTGAAAACAGGAGGTTAGACAGGAGGAGAGTGAATAGGCACTTACAGGGTATATGTACCATCCTAGACCGCATCCCACTTAACATCAGGTGCGATTGTGGTCAAATACCTGCCTTGTTATGCATAAAAAAAAAGTATTTGAGCAGTAACTATCCCAAAATATAGGAACAAATGAAACTATCATATGAAGGAGACCCGATAGTTTCGTCACGTATAACTTTTTACCACAAATCATTAACAAAAACTATTCTCGTCCCCAGGCGCGGAAGCAAGGCTACAACGCCAGCAAGCCGCTCCTCCGCAAGAAGTCCGAACTGCCCGCGGACACTTCCACCGTCAAAGCGCTCATCGAACACAAGCGCGCCGACGCCTTCCTGCCCACCCCACCCGACGTCAACCAGTGCTAGCTAACGCACGTACACGTACACGATAACGGGGACGTACACGTGCACGATAACGGGGACGTATACGTACACGTGCACGAAGAGATACACGTGGAAAGGTTGCGCGCGACTCTAGGAGTACACAATTGGCTGCAAGTGACGGTAAACTACAGGTTGCGAGACGAGGTATACGTAAAAGGGATTGATAGATTGATAACGGATATGCTTATGGTGAATGTAAAGGAACACGCGAGAGACGTAAACGCAAAGATACAACACTATGAATTCACAGAAAATAGGATGCGCGTTAGTGCATTCGGTTACTGGTTTCCTAAATTCTACTCGAATATGAAACACAGTGCGTTACAGGTAAATGGGCTAAACAATAAGCTACACGACAGTAGAATCACAGATAGATTAAACACTGGTATATGCCTGCTTAATTCTCTTACTAACGGCATACACGATTGTAGCTATCTAGTACACGCTTGTCCAACATAACGAAAGCGTTAGTGGTGACTTTAGTAAGATAAAGATCGCATTTCAAAGAAAATATACTTTTTAATTTATGTCTCTCACAAATCTGTAGCATGTTTTTAGTGTGCTTTTTAGGCATTTTAACAGCTGGAATTTACTTAAATTGCAAGAATGTAGTTTGTAAATTAACATTTTTTTTTTGTTTGATTAGGTACAATCATTACCACTACATACGTATAAATAACGTTTGCGATAACATTGAATAGATAGATACTGATGATTATAGAAATAGATAGGATAATTGTTGGCTATAACATTGTCAAATTACGGCCAAGCCTTGAGTGCTATATACAATAACTCGTGGTTAGATAGATTTGGTATTGACATATTCATACATTGTAAATAGTTTTAAAAGTTGATATTATCTATGTTATTGTAAACTATACAACATACCGACGGTTAAGAATCAATACCATCTATCTCAAGTTTTGGCGGTTTTCACTTTTTAATGCCAATAGATTTAAAGTCCAATTTGGCACAGGTTGTTCACACTCCTATCTTAATATTCACAGTATTTCCAAAGTTATTTGCTATAGAAATACCACCTATGTTAAGAGCACGAAAAATTTTCTGCCAATATTGTCTATCTCTCCTCAAAGAATTATAGAAAGGTGGTAAAAAGTTACTTTATTCAGTATTTTTTACTTTCATTGTTCAGACGTGTAGACGTGTTTCATTATATTTTTAGCGTATGAGAACTTGATAATGGTAAGTTGAAAATCAGAAATACATGAGATAAAGTTGACAAAATATTCACAACTTTAACTAATACCTAGTACTCTTATTCAAAAGGCGATAGAGCGGAACCAAGGATCCAAAGTGTTCGCAAGAGACAACTCTATTAAGCCAAGCCAGCTCACTAAGTTAAAGACGGTGTACGGTAGTGTGACCGAGGTTCTGGGTGAGACTGAGAGGTTTTACAGGCATACCTTGGTCACCAAACCTGTTAATATGTAAGCCACAGACCCAAGAGCTGAGCTAACTCGACACTATACCGAAGATATACCGGATATTAGCCTATACGAGATTAGAATGACTCTCAAACAGCTTAAGAACAAAGAGGCACCAGGTGATGACGGAATAACCTCGGAACATCTGAACGCGATTGGAACACCGATACTGATGATCCTTCAGAGGCTTTTAATTTCGTCTTACCCGAGGGAATAGCGCCAGAGGCATAGAACAGAACCATGGTGGTGCTTTTCTTCAAGAAGGGAGATAACACCTTACTGAAGAATTACAGACCCATCTCCCTACTGCGCCATGTCTACAAACTGTTTTCAAGAGTCATCACGAATCGTCTCACGCGTAGGTTTGATGACTTTAAGCCTCCCAAGCACAAGCCAATTTTCACAAAGACCACATCCATACGCTGTGGCAGGTTTTACAGAAGACCGAGGAGTATAAGTTGCCCTTTGCTTGGCGTTCGTGGACTTCGATTCGATCGAGACTTGGGCATTGCTGTAGTCTCTCCAGTGGTGCCGTATCGACTATCGGTACATCGAGGTGCTTGTACAAAATGCTTCCAAACTCCAGAATTGGAAAGGATTCTGCATAAATATAAATTAATGGCGAGTAGGTACATCACTAACCTTCGGTTTGCCGAAAATATTATGGTCATTCGCTGGAAGACCTCTACACAATGTTTAAAGACCTTAATCGAGTTTTCCAACCGGTAGGTCTTCGGATGAAAATGTTATTAACGTAAAACACAATTTTGACTAAGATTTTGTTATGCCTTAAGCCACAGCCATCTGCGTCAAAATAACAACATCTGCAAGAACTCAAACTAGTTCTACCAGCAGAATGCCATGACTTTTATGATTCTTTGCCTCATTTGTAAAATACAAATTAATGTAAGGTATAAAACAACCTCATTTCATGTTATTGATTAATAAGCTACTTGATTTTTACTACTTATTTTTTTCCAATAGCACCTATCTAGTAGATAAATAATTTTTTTTAACTCTTTTGAACCAATACCATCTAACTCAGGTTATCTTGGTATATGGCAATATTACGACAATCTAAGTTAACATAACATTTTTCAGTATTTATTTACCTTTTTTAGCGATTTTAACATTTCTAGTAACTTATAAGCTGAAGCGAGGAAACGTTTTTTTTATCTCCTGTAAAGTTGACTTTTTTGAGATAGATGGTATTGATTCTTAACCGTCGATACAATATTAATGTTCTTAATACATGCGTAATCTTTACAACTTTTTTAGTAGCAATATCTGGTTCGTTCGTTCGTTCGTTTCAGCCAAATGACGTCCACTGCTGGACAAAGGCCTCCCCCAAGGTTTTCCACAATGAACGGTCCTGCGCTGCCCGCATCCAGGCTCTTCCCGCGACCTTTACCAGATCGTCGGTCCACCTAGTAGGAGGCCTGCCCACGCTACGTTTTCCAGCCCGTGGTCGCCACTCGAGAACTTTCCTGCCCCAATATCTGGTTAAATTTTTCTTTTTCAAACATTGCTGAAGTTTAGTATTGTGTTCATATTGTGAAATTAATAATTCATAAAGTACAAATATTTCAGTTAATGTTAAATAAATAAATTCGTTGCTATTGTCTAATATAAGCTATACGTAACACTGACGCGTGCCTCTTTCAACAACTACCCTCCTTCTTTTTAAGGGTCTGGCTACACTTGTACGCCATTTTATCTTATAACTAGAAAAATTTACCGTTTACCCTAGGAATAAAGTCGTTTGTTCGTTGCTGTGGTATGTTGATAACTCGATGCTAAAGAAAGCCAACCAATGTAGTTCATGCCCGAATTGAATTTATAAGTGTTGTTTCGTATTTACCAGAGCTAAGTAAAGCGTTTACGTGTTTAGGATGTTAGTTAATGAAATGTTACATTGCAGCCAATTGTGCGTCTACCCACTTAACACTCGCGTGCAACGGGGGTCAGTGAGTACATGTGTGCGAGCGAGAGGACGCTCTACGAGTGACACGTGAAGACGCATTGTGGTCTATATTTAATATATTAGTTAGTACACATATAATTAAATTGGTAGTTTTGTTGATGTTTTATATTTCACTCGACGTCGACTGCTGTTGGTTGGGGCCGCGATTCCGACGGGGCTTGCAACTTGCAACTCGTTGGATTTGAAGCTCTAATGCTTGCAATGTTCGCGTTATTTGCGACCAATCAGAGCTATATAAATCGGGTTAGAATAGAGAGATTGATGACGTTGTTCTTACAGCTTAAGTCTGGTCCGTGAGCACGTAGAATTTTGTCCAATGACCCCAAGCTACCCATCCTTATCGCTCGCGCGTAATTATGTTGCTATCGCGCTCGCACACTCACTGCGGGTGCCAGTCGCACAGTCGCGACAGCAATATAATTACGCGCGAGCGATAAGGATGATAGCTTGGGGTCATTGGGCACAATTCTACGTGCTCACGGACCGGGGTTTAGGCGCTATTCTAAGCACGTTTTTAATAGCAGAATTGGGCATCGAAAGGCGTCCAATTTGCGCACACGCATCTGATCGGTCGCCAGTGAAGCGATGTTGCGTAATGAAGTACTAAATAGAACTATCATCCGTCTCATCTGTATATCCTGCTAACGTAAGTTCTTAATTGTTTTCAATGATAGTGTACCTTTGAATATTTTTGACAGGTTCAATAAACAAGTGTGAAAATATCGAAGGCATAATATCGCTTGTTGAATGTGAACTTTGTATTTAATTATTCGGTGATTATCTTATTATAGTAGCTGTGGGTGGTGCGTAAAGGACTATTGCTGGTCAATACTTGTCTCGATGTACAGTCCACAGCACATGAACCTATCGCAAAATGACTTATCCCCACAATGCATTTTAAACTTTATTACCTATAAATTTCAATTGAGGAGATTTGATATTTTGGTGTAGGTTGACGTGCTGTTGACTACACCACTATCCACTATACGCCCGCTTTTTAGGGCGATGCGTTCATAACTCAGATGTAGCATCGAAACGTCAAACAACACTATTTGAAAATTAGACGTAGGTATTTGAAACAATCTGCCCTATAACTGTTTATACACTTTATACAAACTCTTTTCTGAGGCATATTATACCTAATGGTCTGACGTCACTGTCATAGAGACTGAATTGTTCAAATGAACCATAGCTACGATACATTTTCGATTCTACATTAGCGTTTATATGGTCGCCTTTTCATTGCGTTACATCTCGTGTAAGTAATAGGTTAATGCACCGTTCCACTGGAGATCCACCTGCGTCACGTTATCGTTTCGAGTCGGGTTCCATCTATCGGTAATATTGTCAAAGGCACATGAACAATGAATAAGGATTTCAATCGTTCAAAGCAGATTGCAGAGCAAATTAGTAGAAAATTCACTGTATACAGGGTGTTTTTCATTTTGTATGCATTTCAAAATCCTTTGGTTGAAATTCGCAATTTTGTAATAGAAATTGAAACGCTTCGTTGTTCCCGTATGGCCAACCTGGACCAATGCCGACAGGTGCGACCCGGCCCACAGCCGACACCGATGTATAACTAGTTGTAGTAGCGATCATGTTTATACAACAGCCATAAAATTAGTATAATTTATTATTAAAACCAAAAATATATGCAATCTTTAACGATATGTCTGTTTGACATGAATTCCATCGCTTGTTTTTGTATATTTAGATCGTTAAATCGAATAAAATTATTAGATTTGTGTATTAATCAGAATAAATGTGATTAGTTTATTTCATTCATTCCTTTCATGCGACTAACTTAAGGATAATAGATTAATTAATCCACTAATCACAAAATATGCTATTTTCATAAAAAGTAAAGTCATGTATTGTTTACTTTATATTTTTATACGTACTTTATAATTATGAACGTAACATCTAGCCTAATTTTAATAATATCGGTCTTTATGTCAAGCATTGCATATCTCCTTTTATTTTATAAGGGAAATGTAAAGGCAGGGTCGGTTCTTTATATTTTGCCATTCATCTTATGAATAAAAACTGTTCGCAGTATCACCCTGCCTAAAAACATTCCGAGTTTAGTTGTAATTTGTAAAGCATACTTTTGAAATTATTTAAAATAGAGCATTATTTAATAAAGGGCACCCAAGGTTTGCATTTCATGTTACATTTAATTTACTTGTTTATTAGAGGGTAGCGTGCCAAATGAATTTGCATTGCATTTTCGAGGTACTTTGAACCTTATCAATAATACAATAGAGTTTATTTGTGTTATTGGTAAACTTCAAAAAGTTGGAAATCTAATCGAAAGATTTCAGGGAGCGAGCGGCTTACTAACATGCCGGTATGGAAGCACCTAAGTATTTAAAAATAATTTATTTTTATTTATACATTATCATACGCCACTACTTGGTCTATAGCTGTAAATCTCCGACTGTGTAAAAACTATGTTTTCATCTGTAGAGGTTTAATAATATTTTGTACTGGAGTTAAAGTAAAATAAGTGTTCGGTACTTATGATTAATTTTGTAGGGAGTAAAAATTCCCAATTGGGGAGAGTAAAAATTGCAATATTAAAGGCTTACAATATTATTTTGCAGTATGGCAATGTTAATCAAATGTTTTATTTATAGAACCTAAGTATCCCTATAAAATTAATCAAGTACCTCTCTAGTAATCGTTCAGATAAGAGCAAGTAACTGTGAGGGACTGACTTTCTAATGCTCGAATTAACAATAAAATTTAAGATTAAAAGCTGCCAGTCGCAAAAGATTTTATTTCAAAATATATCAGCTTTCGGTACAAAAATTAAGAAACACTATTCACATAGAAGAAGCTGGCGACTACTTTATGTGGTAGCCAATATCCAAAAAGGATTGTTCTGAAACTAGTGCCCAAAACTAGTTTGAAACTCGAAGATATAATTTTGATACTGGCAAGCCACGTGTTCCTCACAGTTACTTACTAAAATAAATGTAAATTTCAATGAGCGTGAAGCGTGAATGAACAGAACCTCACATTTAGCGAATTATTTGCAAAGCTGTTCAACAAATTGATAAATTTTGTATAAATATTTATAACGATAATGTAACTGTTGAAAACAAATAATGTAACAGATGACATATTATAAGGTGCTTATGATTATCGTTATAATACAAAGTTGTGCATATACATCGTCTTTTAATTTACCCACCCTTTTGGTAGTTTCCCTCGCTAAAAAAAACATTTTTATATTCAAAACTGTTTATTGAATAAGTATTTTTCTTAACATATCATTTAATACATTGCNAAATAAATACATTGCAATGTATGTATTTATGTACCAAATACAATTTATACACGTAAATAATTTCATCACTTTGAATTTTCCCTTGATCTCACTATACATATAAACTATGTTTTAGGAGTTAAATCCTTTATTGTTATTACATATTATTGTTAACACTAACTATAGTGTCTTTCAGCATTTATGGAAATTTTATAACTCAAAATTCGGAGCATTGTAGGGTAAATTACAAAGCTTAAAAAAATCATTGCATAAATAAGTAATAATTTTATAATAAACATTATTTACTGTAAATATGTACAAACGTCGGCACATTATGCTCAACTCTAAAACTGCTGCATCTTATATTATGTGTTATAAGGGCGAGTTTGCAACAAAAATAGCTGGTCCGATGTGCTGTCGACTGTACATTAGACATGCAATCTCGTATACATAATGTCGTTAATACAAACCAGGCACACGACAAATATATCAACGTGAAATTGTGAACTCAGTCAGTTTATAATATAACGCGTTAGATTGTAATAGTGTTGCCGAAAAATCATTCGAAAAAGCCTTCTCCATCGATAGGCCTATCGATAGTATCGATACTGTCGATACTATCGATAGCACAAAACGAGGCAATACTATTGAATATGTGCAATACTATCGATAGTATTGTTGCTCGTGAAGAATAAACTATAGATAGTATCAATACTATCGATAGTATTGTCGCTTTTGAATAAAAAGCTATCGATACTATCGATTGTTCTAGACTATCGATAGTCTGTAAATTTGCAATAGTATTGGGTATGTTTAAATTCATTTTTACAATATTTCAAATGTTTCGCTTGACTTACCAACTAACATATAACTAAAAATAATGATCTCACTTGTATTTAAAACTACCTGCATTAGTTAAGTACGGCAAATAAAATGTATTGCCAATTTTGGAAACCTATAATTAAATGTTATGGTTAACTATATGAAATAATTCAAGTATTCCAATAACCCTATTGTTGTGCCTATTGACTATTATACCCAAATATTGTAAACGATACTATTGTAAATTGCCAAACTATCGATAGTCTAGAACAATCGATAGTATCGATAGTATTGATAGCTTTTTATTCAAAAGCGACAATAGTATCGATAGTATCGATACTATCGATAGTTTATTCTTCACGAGCAACAATACTATCGATAGTATCGATAGTATTGCACATATTCAATAGTATTGCCTCGTTTTGAGCTATCGATAGTATCGATACTATCGATAGTTTATTCTTCACGAGCAACAATACTATCGATAGTATCGATAGTATTGCACATATTCAATAGTATTGCCTCGTTTTGAGCTATCGATAGTATCAATAGTATCGACAGTATCGATACTATCGATAGGCCAATCGATAGTCTTGCGATAGTTTGACTATCGATAGACTATCGATAGTCTATCGATAGTCGACTATCGATCGGCAACACTAGATTGTAAATTAACAGTGGGTTAGGTTAGGTTAGATTGTAATTTAACTCAGATTATAATCTGACGGAATTCACAATTTTACGGTGACATATATAATAATAATAAGAAGCATGGCGATATGGTACGCCATAAATTTAATTGCTTGCCCGAAAATAATACACTGATAAAATTTATAATTCTACAATAAACTAAATCACTAGCCAATCAATTGATAATTTAGGCCTTAGTCCACATGCAGAAGGAATGGTGATAAAAATTTAGGGGTGACTAGAGACAAAACTATATTCTAATATTAGAATGTTTTTCCAAAAGAATCCAAAATAGAAACAGAAGGATCAGTGTGTTTACTACCTCGCGAATTTACTTAATTGTACGATATTATAACATGGGGTCTCGTGTTTTCACACAATGCCCAAATATCGACTTATTCATGCTTTGTAAGCTGTATTCATTATAGGCTATTCATTAAAAAAAAATATAATGAGATAGGAAATGAAATACCAAGAAAAACTGATGAAAAATCGAAAAGAACGAACCTATAATAACTAGCGAGACAATATCAGCTTTAATCTATATTAATAATTTCGTCAAGGGGTACGGTAGACTGGATCGAAACCTTATATGAATAACAAAGCATAAAAAAATATCGATTTTGAGTCGACAACATATATCCGCAAAATTCGGATAATGGAGAATTTCGTTAAATTCCGATGGCACTGACAAACAATTTCAAACAAACCGCTGTCGCCATCTTTAGCAGTTCACCATCCACTCACTATGCGATCAGCGCCAAAACCTTATACTATTTGCTGGGTTGTCATCGATCCATAAATAAATGGAGATCTGCGTTTCGCGATTTTTATGATTTTTATATTGGCCGATTCAACCACAGAAAAAGAATATTAGCCATAACCATAGAAGTTGAAGTTCAAATGTCAATGTCATTTAGTTTCGCACAGTGATAAATTCCAGTGACATGCAATTTTTGTAATGGCAAAATATTTGTAAGAAACTGCAAACAAATGCAAATGTGCAGTCGATGTGTGGAATGCGACAACATTATACTCGGTAAGCGGCTTAATATTATTTTTTATTTAACCCGACAAATAATAATAAATGACCACATGCATAGCCTGTGTTGAGTTGTTATCAACATATACAGAAACAGACACGATTTTTGCACCGTTTTTCTGATAACGGAATAGACTCCTTCATGCGCAAGTTCCATTTGAGCTCGGCTGGTTCTTATTATAAATAATTGTGTAATATATTTTTGCAGATAATTTCAATTATTGCGAGTGTTGTGGCTTAGAAACAATTAGGCAGTTAAGAATAAAAAGGCTCGGGCACTATCAAACCTTTTTCCTAAAAAGCAAAAAGCTGCTTCTGCTGCATCACAAGATTTATTTGATGACTTTCAGGTAAGTTAGTAGTGTAGGTCACTGAGTAAAGTAAAATAAATATAGAGGTGGGAGGATATACCTACACCTACATACATTTACAATACTTATTATTATTTGAATATTTGTCTAAAAATAAAATATATTTCTCTTATTAAACTCAGTTAGCTCAGATGGTAAGAGCGCGACAACGGAGAAGTCGAGGATGTAGGTTCAATTCCTGCATGTGGTGTATTTTTTTCATCACATCTTATTAAAGGATGATGGGCATATTGGGCGTTAAACCAACAGAAACAAAAAGTATACTAAATTATAGCTTAATACTAGTTAACTATAAAAAGATTATTAACTAAAGCAAATATAGCTAATTCGTTTTAAGCAAATAATAAAGCTATACTTTTTAGCTCATAATTGGCGACCACAAAAGCTGGATACGATTGTGTTAAATGTAGTACAAATATTCCGGATTTTACAGTTCATACAGAAGTATAATACGAAATTGATGATAAATATCTATAAGTAAATCTCTTGGTGAACACCAATTAATATGTAGCTGAAAAGTTGAAATATCATTTTGTATACCCTGATGAACGAAATAATACATTTTATGAATACAATGCCGAATAATAAGATACCTACATTGCTTTTAATTGCTTCAATTAATTTAGGTGAATAATTGCATATTACAATTCTAAAGAACCGTGTATAATTCAGGCAGTTCAATATTTCACTTACATTCTAATTTAATTCATTAACAAGATATAATTTTCAGAACATACATATTTTACATTTATACACTCTAAAATATTCATATAATACAGTTATTTTGAACATGATTCAACATTATAATAATATATGCATTAACCCATATAAAGGGGCACAGAAATGTTTCGATAAAAATAAATAATTTATCTTACATGAATATGAACTTAAAATACTTTTATTGCAAAAATATAGTACATTAATCTCAGCTAGTAAAAATTACTAGTGTTGTTCAATATTAGCAATTAATTGTTTTCTAAAGTGTTAAAAACCTAGTGAAAGTGCTAGATCTATACGAGAAACAATGCAGTATAACATGTCTAGGATTATTAAAGGTATTTTAAGACCAATCACAGCTGTATTGATAAAAATAAACAAAGATAGACTGCAGAAGACTGTTAAGCAGAGACATGAATGAATTGTCCACACTGGAGATCTCATGACATCAATATTGTGTCCCGTTTCGCTTAAAAAATATAGCAGACCATAACCCCGCCTAAGTGCGCGGGCGGTAAGCGGCAGCAACTCTATTAATAATCCACGTTTGTTTATCAAATTAATTCAAAAAGGTCATACCACTCAGTTGTACAGTTGACGACACATCAGAATACACATTTTTGTTGTAAAATAGCACCTATTGTAACAACATAGGATGCTACAGTTTTTAGCTTGATGTGCCGTCGTCTTTACATGTACCTACTAGAACGATTCAATTATTTTTTAACCATATTAAGGCAGTAAAAATATTGCTACTCAGAATTACTTAATTACGTAAAGCTGGTTATATTTAAAAATAGTTTCGCCGACAAAACGTTCTCTCTTAAAAAACTAATAGTGGCGTAAATGAGTTCATTTAGTCAACTGATGACTTCATGAAATTGGTGTAGATAAAAAACAAATTGTTTATTTGCATCACAAATAGTGGACACTTGTTGGCTTACCATTAGTATATCTATATTCAACTTGTAACACTGCTATTTCCTCCTAGTTGATAGCTGATGTCTGAGGTGTTGAATCTCATCATGCTGCTTGGTTAATTGCTCATTGAGTCCGGCCACGTGTTCCGTTAGCACTGACATTTGTTCTTCGTAGTTGTGTGAAGTGGAGTGTAACTCTTCTTCCTGAATTGAGAAAATAAACGTCAAAACAACCATAATAACAAAAGAATGTAACAGAATACATAACACATTGTTACATGTTCTATTCAATGTCAATTGGGTTGGAAAGTAGTGTCTGACTCACCAGTCGGCCAATTGTGTTGTGTTTTTCTTGCAATGTATGTTCATCTGTCTGCTTATCTCGCTCCATCTCTTCGAACCTTAGCCTTAGCAACTCACACTAAAACAAGAATAAGTAAAAAAAATATATTAAATCATAAAATAAATAAGATGGGCACTTGGGATTGGGATGGGAAGATGAGATTGGCTTAGGAGGAGTATTTCACCACTATCTAGTCATCTAGTGGTTGATGGAAAATAAAATAATGAATTCAAAAACAAAAATGTAGTTACCTCTTTGACATAATGTTCAGTCTTGCTTCTCAGCTCATCCTTTTCCACTTTCAATTCACTAATTTTATTCCTAAAATAAGCTTTCATCCTATCTTCTCTGGACTGCACCTCTTGGGTCAACAGGAATGGTACCTCCATGCTCCCAAGAAGGCCTGTAACTCTACCCTCATTATCTATAGCCGTCTCGTTGAATGTGTTGAAGTCTCCGGAGTCATGAGTATCTCCTTTCCTCTTCTGTGATGCTGAGACATATTTTGCTACTTCTAGTTTTAGGCTCTCATTCTCCATTTGGACAAGCTCATACTCCATTCTAAGTTTTTGATTTTCCTGATGAAATAAATAGTTTTATTAATTGAATAAAAGCTGACTCATAGACTGTTTTTGTGTAGGATATTTAAGTAAATTACAGAATTATACTCACTTGTTCTAATGTATGGGTTTTTATACTAAACTGCTCATTTATATTCAAATCATCAACAGAACTTAATGCATCTTCACTTCCAATCTGAAAAAACAAATACATCAGTAACCTAAGATAATTAATCTATGAATAAAATAACCATGGAATCATTTTAAAAGTCCTCAAGAAGAAAAAGCATCCAACCAAGAGGTCTAGCTTTTTATCACTATGAGTGTACACACAACCAGTGACTATAATGTTGAATAGCAGTACTTTATTTAATTAAAAAGAGTGAGTCAAACAATGTCTGTACTGTACCAAACTTCCGCCTTCAGAAATGAAATCTCCATTACAACTATGAGGCTGACTACTGCTAGGGGCATGGAGCCTGCTCGGGGTGCCTCCAAGGCGGTCTTTCTGTGCCTCTTCTAGAGCAAACTGCAGTTCTTGGTTCTTGTTTTTGAGCTTTGCTATCTCACATTTGTATTTGCTATCACTCTCACTAATGTGCCTTTGATAATCTTCTAGTGAAGCCTTCAGTTGAGACACTTCAAATGTTTTATCTGATAACTGAAATAAAATAAACAATAGATTAGTATCCAAAAGTTTAAAAGTAAGTTTAAATTGCTTTATAATTTACTGAAAACTTATAAGAATCTTATTGGTACATTTAAGCACCAAGTTTTATTGTTTACAACTTACAAGTAAGGTGTTACTAAATACCTGTGATGCAAACTGTGCATTTTCAATTATTTTCTTCTGCAATTCCTCTTGTAAGATGCCAGAATCTAATGGAGCTGTACTACTTACAGCGCCAGTCTGCTTCTCATCTACTTTACCTTTAGATTTCTTTGTTTGTTTTAACTGTAAGTAAAACAAAGTGTTTCAATCTTTATCACAATGAATTTATGATTTTAGATAAACACCTCACGTTTTCTTGGTACGCACTGACCTGTAATGCTTCAAGTTCATCCTGAAGGACGGACACCCGGCGCGTTAACTGCTGATTCCTAAAAGTTAACGAATCTATCTCCAATTCCCCTCTTCGCAAAGCTTTTTCTTTTTCTTTCAATGCGTCCCTCAACTCGTTAGATTTCGCTTGCTCATCTAGAACGCCCTTCTTTAGCACCTTCACGTGCACCCGTAACTGCAAAGGAAACGATAAATTTACACAAATTACGGACCATAACTCGCCGTTATCGAACATACACAGAAACATACCTTGGAGTACTCTGCGGCCAATTTTTGGTATTTTCCCTGAATATCACCTGAAGGCAACCCCTCCATGATTCGGTTTTATAAACACATAACTCTGTAATTACAATTATAACTGTTTATTTGGTAAAACACTGTAGCATTTGTATCGAACACCCACTTTCTATGAAAATGACGTGACTGAAAATTCCGAGGTCTCACAACTATCCGTCATACAGTGAATGACATAATTTTGACAACTTATTGACCAATAACAAACATTACTGATTTTCTTCTTAGGAAGGTGATTGGTGATTGGTCTGTGTGTCGTCTTATTGATTACATCGAGGTTGCAAATGGAGACTCTCTAAAAATAATATCAATTTTAATAAAACTAGCAACCTTCCTTAAGCTTGATTTGGAATTTTGGACATATTCAGCTTACACCTCCTCACACTTCTTTACGCAAGACAAACAACCAACATTGCTTGATTGCAATATTTCATATGGTTATGGCCATCATTAACTCATAAAAACTCCCTTGTTTCTTCTCTTTTCACCGAAAATAAATCAAACGGTAAAATAAATAAAAAAACGAGGGAATTCTTTTTTTAGTCTGGTAACATCAACTCTGTTGATGTGTCGTGATCGTCCAATAGAAAATATCAATATTTTGAGATTTATGAAATAAAAACGATAATTACAAAGTTATTTTTCATATACAAATACTTTTGAATATATTCCATCTTTCAATGATACCGATATGGACGATACGTAAGTTATTACCGAGTACTAGACCGCTTCAGATCTCAACAGGTAAACTAAGTCAGAACAAAGTAAATTATGACTAAACAACCCAAAATTCCACAGGATCATGCAGTCAAGTAGTTCTACTTGCAGCTACGTGGACAACGACCATTCTCGAAGTATTATACACATCGACGTAGACTGCTTTTACGCTCAAGTGGAGATGCTTAGAAACCCCGAACTGCGTGCCGTGCCGCTGGGTATCCAACAGAAAAACATCGTCGTGACCAGCAATTACGAAGCCAGGAACTACGGAGTCCAGAAATGCATGCTTGTTACGGACGCGGTAAAACTATGTCCCAATTTGAAACTTGTTAGTGGAGAAGATTTACACAACTACAGAGCAGCTTCCAATAAGATATTCGAGGTTCTACTTACCTGGAAATGCCCGGTGGAGAAATTGGGTATGGACGAGAATTTCATTGATGTCACAAAATTAGTGCAGGAGAAAGTTTCAAGCGGGGAGCATAATTTGGTCGGTCACATTTACAATGAAATGAGTATGGAATGTCCATGCGGCTGCCACACTAGACTGAAAATAGCATCACAAATTGCAAGTGACATAAGGCAAAAGCTTTTCGACGATTTAGGATTTACGACTTGTGCTGGTATTGCACATAACAAATTGCTGGCCAAACTGGTCTGTCCATTACATAAGCCCAATGACCAAACAACTATACTTCCTGAGAATGCAGCAGACTTCATGTCTACTTTACAGAGTGTTCGATGCATTCCAAGCATTGGTTCGAAGACCACTGAAACTCTTATATCTCACAACATCATATCGGTAAGCGATTTGCAACAAGCTTCATTGGAAGTACTGAAAAAGAACTTCAGTAGTGACATGGCAGTAAGACTGAAAAATCTTAGTATAGGGGAAGATAACACTCCAGTGAAACAGACCGGGAAGCCTCAAAGCATAGGCTTGGAAGACAGCTTCAAGACTGTCAGTGTCAAGAGTGAGGTGGAAGACAAATTCTCAGCACTACTACAGAGGCTCTTGGTGCTGGTGAGGGAAGATGGTCGCATACCAGTTTCACTTCGAGTCACACTAAGGAAGAAGGATGCTAAACGGCTGAGCAGTCACCGGGAATCAAGGCAGTGCCAGATTTCTCCTTCAATCTTCACGATAACCAGTGGCACGCTCACTGTTACTGATGCCGGCCAGCAGAAACTTATGACTATAATAATGAGATTATTTAACAAGTTAATTGACTTGTCTAAACCATTCCATTTAACACTTGTAGGTCTAGCATTCACTAAGTTCCAAGAGCGTATGACTGGAAGGAGTTCCATAGTGAATTACTTGATGAATGACATCTCTGTGCAGTCAGTGCTCAACTTACAAAACGACTGTGACACGTCAGCTTCGTCTATGGATTACTCTGTCGCATCACCCAGTAGTAGCACCACCACAGATCTGTCAGATGCTGAAGTGGAGCCTTCTCCGAAAAAGCCTAAGAAGGTCACGTGGATTGCAAAGAGGAGATGTCTGGCTAAGGAAGAAGTTGCATCCCCAAGCAAGTTAAAAGTGGGGGAGTTGAGATTAAATTCTAAGGAGCTGGAGAAAGTGTCGGAGTTGAGACTTAATTCTAGAGATAGGTCATTGACACCCAGGGCCAGTCCTGCAAAGGACAATTTATCAGATGCATCAGACTCAATGAAGGATGTGGCAGAGGGGGGCAACTGTGATGACTGTCCTAGTTACGTTGACAAGGAGGTGTTCAATGCCCTCCCAGATGAAATGCAGCAGGAACTCAAGGCGATGTGGAAAAACCCCTCCAGTTCAGAAGTACAGAGAAGTAGTCCAAGAACAATGAACAAAGCAAAACCGAACACAATCTTGAAATATTTTGTTCCACACAAATAGTATTAGTAAGATTTTATCTTGTTAATTATTTTAAGTGATAAGTGAATGGTTTCTATTTTTTCAAATCATACAATTTTTATTCAACTGATCAAATACATGTTTATGTTAAAAAAAACTTTGTTTTTATTAGCACTTCTAAATATGAACACAGTTAATAATATTAATAACACTTACAGGTGTACAGGTTCTATACTACACTATACATAACTCTGTTTCACACTCTTAGACAGTTGTTCCACATTGTTACACCTGGCAAGACACATTACCCAAGTAGATACTGTCCCCACTCTAGGGTCACTGTTGAAAAGAAACAAAACCTAACTTGGCATATCATTTAATATCTATATTTTTTACAGCTTCAGTGACCATAGAATATAATTCTGTATACTTGTGCACACTATGTACATTCAGATGTAGAGCCTCCGCCATCTTGGCGTAAGAAAGTACATCGACGTTGAGTTGTAGACGTATCTTGTCGCCGTCGGTGACGCCGGCACTATCGGCATTTTGCTGCGACGTCTTCTCCCGAATCTGTTTCAGTCTTCTTAGGGACTCCTCTGTTTTCTGCACCGATGTTAAGACGTCTTCCACATACTTGTAATAGCTACAAAACAAAAAACAATCATTTTAAGTCTTGCAAAAAATATATTGAACATTATTAAATAAAATAAACAAATAAATAAACAATTTATTTCATAACAATGGGTACATAACAATGTTAGTGACCGTAGCTCCCTTTTAAGCTAATGAGCCTGTATCAGGGAGCAAACATACAATTATTAAAAGTACAAAACCGAAATACTTACGAGACAGTCATTGTATTAAATAAAGCTTCATACACTTCCACTAAGAATGCATTATCCAGCCTTTTTGTCGCACCATTGTTAAATTCATCAATCGCCCTCGAAACTACATCTATATACACACAAGGCTTTGATGGAACACTGCGATTGGTCTTCCTGTACAATCTTGGTATGTCACTGACTTGCTTCAACTGAACATTGAAATATTCAAACAATTCTGTAACAATGCATTCTTTTATCTTGTCTTTTGTGCCTTTCAAAACATTCTCAGATGGCTTCAAACTTTGCCTCAAAAGGTCTTTATTGTCCACAGTGATTTTGCTTTCAGCTATTTGTAAAAACTGTGGTAGTCTTTGGAGTAGTGTCTGAGTATCCACATAAATGATAAAACAGTTTTCAATCAGAGCTTTATTCAAACTAGCTGTCTCCAGTTTTGGGGAAGAAGACTTCTGTAAAATAATAAAAACACTTGACACCAGTACACCATAGAATACAAAAAAGAAAAGAGTACAATTTAGGCAGTCTTATCACTATAAAGAGATCTCTAAAATTACATCAATGTTATCCTTAAAACGGGTACTTTGAAAATTATTTACCTGTGTACAATATTTTTCAGCCCAAGTGGCATATCTAGATAACAGCTGCAAAGACAGCTTCCAGAATTTGTGTGCCAATGCCTCAATGTACACTCCATCTGCCCAGCAGTCTTCCACTGCTTTCCAACAGCTGTGCGTTTCTTTTAGCAAAAAACCATCAGTGTTGACTGTTGTTGGGCTATTCTGTAGTGTTGCTTCATAATTTCCTGTAGAGAGAATAGTTACTATTTAGATTTCAAGCATTTTTTAAGATATAGGCATATATTGAGTTCAGTTTGTTTGTCACCTGCAATCTCTTGAAACCGTATCTGGAAATAAACTGGAAGATTCCATCTTCGCTGGAAACTTTTATACTCTGCAGTATCACGCATAAACTTCACCATTTCTTGTGTGCCACAGCGCTCTTCTAACCTTCTAATAAACTGAATGCTTTCGTTGTATCTTTGATAAAAAACTTGAGGATTCCCAGGAGCAAATATTGATGCTAGATTGACCTCTAACCTACTTTCAACCTCACACCAAAAGCAGTTTACTAGAAATCTAAATTTCTTTACAAGAAATGTCAGCTTGGAATGTTGTGTGACTGCTAATAACAGCTTCAGTTTTGTGTCTAAAAGTTCTAGAACTCTGCTGTATATTCCTTGCAAGCCTTCTCTACTCCTTTGTAATGATGATTCGTTTATGATGTCTTGCAGTAACGGTGCAACTGCTTGTTTTCTAATAAGCATTTCAGTTTCCGTAACACGATCTAATGAAGCTAATGTGATGAATGTTTTTAATAGATTCTCCTCATCATTGTCATTCCAAAATTGGAATAGTAACTCATTTAATGCTTGTACTATCTTCCCACCCACTTCATTGTATAAAATTTTATGTTCATTTTTTAGCAAATTTTCACATTTTGATGTGGAAAATTTGAGTTGATTGTATTGCATTACAGCCCGATCAGCCAAAATTATCTGTTCATGTTTCTTCTTGTCGGATATATTTTTGAGGATGTTGTCCAATGTTTTTAGACAGTTCAAAGCCTGGCTGTAGTACTTCAACAGTTGCTTTTTCTTCTGTAACGCATGTCTCTGGCTCAACCACATTGATAACTCTTTCATTGCTTCTTCCAGGCATTGTTTTACACTCTGAAAGATATATAAAAATTAATCTCAATATAATATCTTAGATAGTAAGATTTATATTAATAAACATTAGTGATATAGATATACTAAGTAATTGAAAGAATCAATTAATCACAATGACTCACCAATACTTCTTCATTCAACTGTCCTAGAGGCACCTGAACTTTAACGATGGCTTTATCGAACCCGATGAGTGTCGCACACAGGTTAACGAAGTTCGCATAATCCTTGTTGATCAGCTCTATCATAGCCAGCCGGAGAACTTTCAAGTACACACCCAGGTCATCGCGCATAGTCTCTAACGAAGCAACGTTTTGATGATCCGCCAAGAAGTTATCCACGGAGAAATTTGTCTGGAATGAAGCCCAATATGTTCACGATACGATATAAACTTAAATAGATAAAATAGCTGTGTGTGTTAGAGTAAAAATGAAGAAAGTACCTTGACGAAATCATTACGGTCGAAGCACAACCCCCGCGGGGCCGGCGGCAGTGTAAACTCGACATTATTACTCTCCATACTTAGCAGATAATTAGCATTTTATTATGAAGGCACCATTGTTGAGATAAATCGTTTTAAAATAAATTAATTACAAATTTTAGATCGCTCTCATCGGCGATCATTTTGACATTTAATTGACGGCAAGTTGACACATTGACACGTCAGTTTCTCTCCGTTCGGATACACGATACACCTTACACCCGATTGTATGTAATTAAATACTAATCATAAATTGATAACCTTTTAAAAACATAAATAAATAATGAAATATTGTGATTTATGTGTACATAATGTTATATAATGTTGTTTTAATCAAGTTGTTTTTAAAAACTAAAAAGAGACGAATTATGGTAAAAGAAGAAATAAAACGCTGTCATTTTTATGTTTGTCTCCGGATTGGCGGGATTAAAGTTGTGTTTTAAAAAACTTCTTTGGTTGCATGAGATCGCGTTTGGGAGGTTTGGGAGTATGAGTACAGAATATATGAGAAAATCCCTAATTATTACTATAAATAGTTAAATTTTTTATAAAAACACAAAAATAATGGAATAATATAACTTGTGTTGTTTATTTCGTATGTACTTACATTTACCTGATCTAACTGCTGTAGTTAAAACAATGCAACCCAACAATTATCGACAATATTGATTCAAATTACAAAAACCACTTAGGCAATATCAACAGCAATTTACTGTCTATTAGCCTATTTGAGAAAATTACCAGCGTAATGAATTAAACGGTTGATAACGACATAATAGAACCCTTTCCCATTTAGGGGTGAATATTATTCCGTATCATTTTATTTGACAACACCAGAAAGAGTGCCGGTTGAGTAAAATGGCTACCTTCAATTCCGAAGACCTATTCCTGAGTCGAGCGAAGTTTGTAATGAAATTTTTGGGAGTATGGATGCCTCCTGTTGACGAGACTTTGCCGCGAAAGTTGTTCAAAATATTTATGTTGACATTGCAATACTTATTTCTGATTTTTCAAACGATCTACATCACGCAGATATGGGGGGATTTGGAGGCGGTGTCGCAGCCTTCATACTTGCTGTTCACACAAGCATGCCTCTGTTTGAAGATAACGATATTTCACGTGAATATTGACAACCTCAGAGAACTTTTGAAGCAAATGGGGTCTGAAGTCTTTTTGCCGCAATCTCGTGTTCATGAAGAGTATGTCGCGAAGCCAATGTTCTCAAATTAACTTGAAATAATTTAAACAATAAGCCGTATTTTTGTAGGATCCTCAAGACGCAAGCTGCAAGGATCAAAAGATTTTTGCTAGCGTTCATGATCAGCTCCCAAATCGTGTGCACGATCTGGGTCGTTCATCCGATGCTCCAAAAAACTGGTCCTCGGAAATTCCCCTTTGATATGTGGTAGGTTTACGAAAATTATTAATACCTACTTACCTACCTATGCAATTAGTTGGATGACATCAGCAGCTATTTATGTAGTCTTACCTCTGCAGTCCACTTGTTCGCCCTACCCTCGCAATTCTGAAGTTAGCCATAATTATGATGAATTCTAGGATGCCAGTGTCTCCAGACGATTCACCCCAGTACGAAATTGGGTACGCCTTCCAACTGCTCACCATTTGCATGAGCGCCTACATGTACTTTGGGGTAGACAGTGTGGCTCTCTCTTTGGTAATCTTCGGGTGCGCTCAGGTCGAAATCATCAAGGACAAGATTTTGAGTGTAAGTATATTGTTATATCTTTAAATTAGGTAAACCTTGAAGTTTCGTAAAATAGTTCTTAGCGGATTATCGACTTCTCCTCCGATTTATAGATATCGCCAGTACAACATAGATTGAAAGAAAGTGAACGTAAAATAATCTTTGAAAAAAATCACAAGATTCTCGTGGAGTGCGTTATTCAACATCAGGCTGTTGTGACGTAAGTACCTAGGTACTTAGCACGAAGATGCGCCCCACCAACTTTTGGTCGAGGGGTGTGCGGGGAGTTTGATCTGAGCAGTCCGAGCGTCATTATTGTAGTGCGTTATTGTTGTAAGTAGTTGTAGCGAGTACGGATAACACTCAAACATTAGCGGAAGAATGGTGGGGCGCGTCTTCGTGGGTAAATTAATCATCTATGATGACAGTACTTAAGGAGGTAATCCAAGTCTTAATTTGTCTCTGACAGATTCACTCAGCTAGTCGAAGACACGTATCACTGGTACCTGCTGTTCCAACTTACCGGGGACGTAGGCGTCACCTGCATGAGCGCTCTAAACATTCTGGCCGTAAGTGCATGACAGTTTTATTTTTCAGTTCAATATAAACTAGATACTTAGTGCCAATGTTTTTTTTATTTTGCAGCAAGAAGTGCGCAGTCTGCAGTTCGTTACTATCCTGATATACGTCATCGTGATGCTGAGTCAACTGTTCATATGCTGTTGGTCGGGGCATGAGTTAACTGCTACTGTAAATCAACACATTTCTAATATTCACACCGTTAACTCTGTACCATAAACAATTTATATGTACTTACTCATTATCCTACATTCTTGGTAGGAAAAAAACAATAACATTTATCGTTACAGAGCGAAGGCCTCCACACAGTCCTGTACCAGTGCATATGGTACGAACAAGACCTGAAGTTCAAGCGAGACCTGCGTTTCGTCATGATGCGCATGAGTCGCCCGATGGTCCTTCGAGCCGGACATTACATCGGCATGTCTAGGCAGACGTTCGTAGCTGTGAGTCGTTATTATTAAGTCACTATGTTGTATTTTTGCTTAAGAAACTGTGTTTGAAACACTGTGTTTTCTTTTTACAGGTCCTTCGCATGTCTTATTCTTACTTCGCTGTATTGAATCAAGCTAATAGAGTAGAGCAACAATAAGCAGGCTTCATAGTATTATCACTTATAATATTTAAAGCAATTTAAAAAAAAAACTGCTCCCTGCAGACGTTTTCATGAAATTGTAAATTAGACAGAAGAATACACTGATGGGTGAACAGCAATTAAATCATTAAATCCTAGAAACTATAGTCGTTTATTTTGTAGAAAGCTGCAGCATATAATTACAAACTGAATAAATATTGGTTGTCATTTAAGTTTTGAAACTTGCGAAGTTTGTGCGATAATTAGACAAACAGTATGATATTTTAGAAGGAATACAGGGAATAATGAGTTGTAGTTAAGTACCTAACTAGGTATTTTATCTTAGTACTAAATACTTTGAATAAGATGGTTTAGGTACTTTTGTTTTATTTCTTTCCTATTGTTATAAAATTGCGTAATTCATCCTGTATTATTTGATTTAGGCAAGCAGTGTACCTATGTCATTAATAAAACACGTGGCTAACGTTATGCATTTAAATATGAATATTGTTTTGGTTACTACTACGAACGTTTACAGAACATCCTGTACCAAGTTTGTTCAACTCAACACCGTGGCACCGTCGCATAGTAAAATTGATTCGATATTGAACGAGTCAAGTTTATTTCACGTTACAATGACCCATACATTTCTGCATCGTCCAAAAACGGCCCTTACCATGTTAGGGCTTTGGTTGCTGCCAGAAAACTATAAAGTGCCCTACTTAATTTACCGGAGTTTCCAACTCTCTATCCAGTTTACTTTCTTATTATTCAATTTTATCTACATGGGGGTGGTTTGGGGGGACTTGGAGGAGTCTTCGGAGGGTTTCTACCTCTTGTTCACACAGGCTACGTTATGTCTGAAATCGACCACTTTTGTGATGAACAGAACTAGGCTGATTCGCCTTTTGAGATTTATGGAAAGCGATATTTTTGCAACGAACACACCAAAACATAAGAGGTAAGTAAGAAACATATTCTTACGTAAGTTCATTAATGAGTATAGGGAATAACAATGGAAAATACCGCTGTGTCTTACATCGGGTTATTCATGTTTGGAGGGACAATTTTGTTAATAGCAATAACGGTTGGATACCAATATTACCAATTATGGTGCACCATGTTGGGCGCCAAAATTTAGAAGCTTGCACCAAGGGGATTATGCACGGGCGCCATATTAAATCCCAAGAGTAAAACTAAGTAAATCTTATGTTCTGCTAAGCGTTAACTACTCATAAGTTAAATCTCATTAAGAACCAAGAACAAGGCGCTCTAAGGTTAGGTACCTAATAGATTTTCAACTATATATTTTGTTGATTGTATTCTAGGATTTTAGCCGTACAAGCTGTGAAGATGTGGCAGGTGTACATGTTTTTTATGACTTGCGCTACGTGTAACGTTTTAGAGTGGGCTGTGGTGCCCTTGTTGGAAAGCCGTGGGCCAAGGGTTTTTCCTTTCAAAATATGGTAAGCGAATTAAAGTTAATAGTTTGCAAGAAAACCAAGAGCAGACCAGCAATGTATTTTTTCTGATTCGCGGCAGTGATCTGACAGAACCAATCTAAAAAATAATCAAAATCGTAACCAAAATTATTTTNAACTTTAAATTAGGTAAATCTTGAAGTTTCGTAAAATAGTTTTTAGCGGATTATCGACTTCTCCTCCGATTTATAGATATCGCCAGTACAACATAGATTGAAAGAAAGTGAACGTAAAATTATCTATGAAAAAAATCACAAGATTCTCGTGGAGTGTGTTATTCAACATCAGGCTGTTGTGACGTAAGTAGGTACCTAGGTACTTAGCACGAAGACGCGCCCCACCAACTTTTGGTCGAGGGGTGTGCGGGGAGTTTGATCTGAGTAGTCCGAGCGTCATTATTGTAGTGCGTACACTCAAACATTAGCGGAAGAATGGTGGGGCGCATCATAGATGATTAATTTACAATCATCTATGATGACAGTACTTAAGGAGGTAATCCATGTCTTAATTTGTCTCTGACAGATTCACTCAGCTAGTCGAAGACACGTATCACTGGTACCTGCTGTTCCAACTCACCGGGGACGTAGGCGTCACCTGCATGAGCGCTCTAAACATTCTGGCTGTAAGTGGATAACAGTTATATTTTTGCATGGTCTATTCCACTTTGATGTCCCAGGATATCAGAGTATTCCAGGCGACACTTTGGTATCCTTTGATCAAAATGGAATAAAAGGTTTTTTTTTCAGCTCAATATCTAAACTAGAATAATAAATGCCAACGTTTTTTTTTTATTTTGCAGCAAGAAGTGCGCAGTCTGCAGTTCGTTACTATCCTGATATACGTCATCGTGATGTTGAGTCAACTGTTCATATGCTGTTGGTCGGGGCACGAGTTAACTGCTACTGTAAATCAACACAATTACCTATATTATTCACATGCCTGTACCTGATTAACAATACCTACTTAGCTTAAAAAACTTAATTATTCCTCGATTATTAGTAGGTGAAAAAACATGAACATTGATCGTTACAGAGCGAAGGCCTCCACACAGTTCTATACCAGTGTATATGGTACGAACAAGACCTGAAATTCAAGCGAGACCTGCGTTTCGTCATGATGCGCATGAGTCGCCCGATGGTCCTTCGAGCCGGACACTACATCGGCATGTCTAGGCAGACGTTCGTGGCTGTGAGTCGTTATTATTAAGTCACTATGTATATGTTTTTGCTTAAGAAACTGTGTTTGAAACACTGTGTTTTCTTTTTACAGGTCCTTCGCATGTCTTATTCTTACTTCGCTGTATTGAATCAAGCTAATAGGGTATAGAGCAACAATAAGCAGGCTTCATAGTATTACTTAAAAGCAATTTAAAAAAGAACCTGCTCCATGCAGACGTTTTCATGAAGTTGTAGAATAGACAGAAGAGTAACACTATTAGTGTGAAAAGCAATTAAATCATTAAGTAAATCCTAGAAACTAGTCCTCTATTTTGTAGAAAGCTGCAGCATATAATTACAAACTGAATAGATATTGGTTGACATTTAAGTTTTGAAACTTGCAAAGTTTGTGGCGCGATAATTACACAAACAGCATGATACCTATTTGTAGGAAGAATATTAGTGTACTAGCTTTCCGCCCGCGGCTTCGCCCGCGTGGAATTTTGTCTGTCACAGAAAAACTTTATCGCGCGCGTCCCTGTTTCAAAAACCGGGATAAAAACTATCCTATGTTCTTTCCCGGGACTCAAACTATCTCTATGCCAAATTTCATCAAAATCGGTTGCGAGGTTTAAGCGGGAAAGCGTAACAGACAGACAGATAGACAGACAGAGTTACTTTCGCATTTATATTATTAGTTGGGATGAGTAGCTATATTAAGTAGGATTCCAATTTATAACGAAAGTATACCTACTTTTAATAAATGTTTTGAGTTGTATGAGTTTTCTTTCCTAAATTAATTTAAAAATAATAATAGTAGTATTGAAAACATAAAACAATCGATCTGGTATCAATAAGTATTCTGTATTGTTTAATTTAGGTAAGAAGTTTATCTCATTTATTAAAACACATAGCGTTAAATTGCAAAAATATGAATATTGTTTTTAGTTATGAACCTTTACAGAACATCCTATACCAAGTAGATATTGTTCTTCGTCGTCAGCATTTTACTTGACACCGATAGTCAATTTGATTCGATATTGACCGAGTCAAGTTTATTTCACGTCACAATGACCCATACATTTCTGCATCGTCCAAAAACGGCCCTTACCATGTTAGGGCTTTGGTTGCTGCCAGAAAACTATAAAGTGCCCTACTTAATTTACCGGAGTTTCCAACTCTCTATCCTGTTTACTTTCTTATTATTCAATTTTATCTACATGGGGGTGGTTTGGGGGGACTTGGAGGAGTCTTCGGAGGGTTTCTACATCTTGTTCACACAGGCTACGTTATGTCTGAAATCCACGACTTTTGTGATGAACAAAACTAGGCTGATTCGCCTTTTGAGATTTATGGAAAGCGATATTTTTGCAACGAACACACCAAAACATGAGAGGTAAGTAAGAAACAAGTTCATTGGTGTAGTAAGTATGTATAGGAAATAACAGTAGAAAATATTGCCGTTTTTTACATCGGGATGTGTTCATGTTTGGAGGGAATCTTAATAGCAATTACGGTTGGATACCATATACCAATTATGGTGCACCATGTTGGGCGCCATTTAGAAGCTTAACCAAGAGGACTACTTAAGCACCGGCGCCTTATTGAACCCCTTGGGGTTCATAAGATTTAGGTTAGCGTTAAGTACTAATTAGTTAAAACCTAATAATACTTTTCTACTTATTATCTGATTATTTCTAGGATTTTAGCCGTGCAAGCTGTGAAGATGTGGCAAGTGTACATGTTTTTTATGACTTGTGCTACGTGTAACGTTTTAGAGTGGGCTGTGGTGCCCTTGTTGGAAAGTCGTGGGCCAAGGGTTTTTCCTTTCAAAATATGGTAAGCGAATGAAAGTTAATAGTTTGCAAGAAAACCAAGAGCAGACCAGCAATGTATTTTTTCTGATTCGCGGCAGTGATCTGACAGAACCAATCTAAAAAATAATCAAAATCGTAACCAACATTATTTTTCTTTGATTTCCCTAAGCTTAAGTAATTAGTGGTAGATTCTTATGATCTTTTCATTCAGGATGCCAGCAGACCCGGCCATGTGTCCCGACTACGTGTACACCATCTGCTACGTGTACCAGGCGGTCGCGGTGTACTTGAGCGCCACTACATTCCTCACCATCGACTTCATGACCGTCTCTATGATCATGTTCGCGACTGCGCAACTTGAAATCATCGCGGAGAAGATTAAACAGGTTGGCTTCTAGCTAGCAGATTTTTGAAGAGGATTAGTGAGAAATTATACTAAGTAGGCCATAAGAAATATATTTTTTTTAAACCGATTAACGATTCTCCGTGAAACCGTCAATAATCTCAAAATTCTCAAGTGCAATAGAAATGCTTGGAATTTTCTCCGCGATAATATTTTAGACCTTCATTCCGAGTCTTTCACCACTTTTAAGATTAATTAAATCTTATCAAAGACATGGGGCAACACCATGAAACCATTAAGTAAGGGCTGCATTTAATGGTAGATATCTGATGGTCAGATACAGCGACGCATTTCCTTTTCAAGATTCCACCTGTGGCAACTTCGTCTGAGAATTTGAAAGCTGAAGAAGTAAAATCCCGGGTACAACACAACAATAAAATTCTCAACGAATGCATTCAGCAACACCAAGCAGTAATAAGGTATGATAGAGAATCCCACATTAAGAAAATTCGTGAAAATATGCGTTGTTTGTATTTTAATCATTTTCGCAGGTTTGTCGGACTAGTGGAAAATATGTTCAACGTGAACATTTTCTTTCAAATGAGCGGAACTGTCGCCATCATCTGTATCATTGGTTTCCGAATTACTATAGTACGTACTTTCATAAATAAAGTAAGTTTTTAACATTTCAATTATTTAACCGGTGTGCTGGGCCGCGCATTTGCGCTTTTGCGCGATCTCACACGAATATCAACAAACCTCTCCCACGTCATAGGTACATCGTGTCCCAAAATTCAACGAAAAGCCAGCCGTCCGGACATGGTCATGACTACTTTAGGAAAAATAATACCTAGAATCTGCTCCTAGAATAGTAACCTAAAGATTTTTTAACTTCCAGGAGCCACCGAACAGCTTCCACTTCTATTCCACACTGAACTACCTGGTGACGATGGTGGCGCAGCTGTACCTTTACTGCTGGTGCGGCAATGAACTCACCGAAAGAGTAATGAATATTAAACACTAAAAAATAAATTAAACTATAGTATCTCGTGAAATGTCAAATTAATCCCTGTTTTCTTTTTTCTCGCGAGAAAAATTAGATAAGTTTCGCGGAAAATTGGATAACTTCAGAAACAACAGCATAATATTTTAACCGCATTCATGTTTAATGAATAATGTGTTGAGTAACTATTTCTGAAATTATAGAGCCAAGTCCTCAGAGACACGCTATACACGAGCCAGTGGTACGAGCAGGACCGGCGTTTTGGGAGCACCCTGGGGATAGCCATGGAGTGCATGAAGCGACCCATCATCTTCCGTGCTGGGTACTACATTCCCCTGTCGAGGCCTACCTTTGTTTCGGTTAGTAAAGCCCTAACTTCGTCGAACTCCTTATCAGCTAGGTATTCATGTAGCAAGGGCTGCAAGTCTGAGCCTAATAATCAAAGGTTAATTTTATTTGAAGATAGGACACAATGGGACAGCTAGGATATTTGCTGAAAACCAACGAAAGGATGGATAAGATCGGGTTCTCGAATATTTGATTTAAAAAAATCTGCCGTTTCGACATTTGAGTTAAAATGACCCGTCGAAACTTTAAATTAATCGTGTCCTTTTATTTTTCAGATACTACGCTGTTCATATTCTTATTTTGCCGTGTTGAATCAAGCAAATAATAAATAAATTGAACGCTCGAAGCCGGTGGCAAAACTTTAGTAATTTTAATTAAACCTACAATTACTGTTGTCTTTGTACATTGGTCACACTGTATAATTAGTGTTTCCTATAATTATTATTTTAGTTTGCCAATTAAACTTCTGAATTGCAATTTATAGTTCTGCTAATTTCGTATACCTTTTGTAGAGATGAAACGGATATCCGGCAACTATCCGGTAGGCCGGATATCCGGCCTAAATTTACTATCCGGCCGGATACCGGATAGTAACTCACTATCCGGCCGGATACCGGATATTAAAAAACTACAACAATTTCCTATTAATGAAATGAAATACTTTAATCTTAGAGGTAAACATCAATAAAATGGCTTATAATAATGACGGCTTTTATTTAAAGTCCAAAATGTTACAAAAAGCCATAATATTAAGGCCTTTAAAAAAACTAATTTCTTTTTCTGGGCTATTCACTCTTATGACGAATACACAAATAGTAAATATACAGGGTGGCCAAAACAGTGAGGTCTAAAAGAAAAATTTAGATTCCTTACATCAAGGTGTATCTAAATCACCCCCATGTGTATAGTACGATTTTGCTTAGTTTAGGAGATAGAGTTAATTTTGTGATATTTTAAAATTCTATGACCTNGCCCGAATTTATCTGCCCCCTAGACAAGTGGCAAAATCTGACATTCTATTCGGACTGATTCGATTTTCGAAAAGTGTGACTAGTCTAGTCTACTAATAGACCCACTGATCGCGTTTGAAGCACCTGTGCGGCGCTAAACTCGTCACGACATGCAACGAGACAATGGGCCAACTATCCGGCCGCCGGATATCCGGCTATCCGGCCTAGCAGCTGGCCGGATATCCGGTATCCGGTATCCGGCCAAACTACTATCCGTTTAATCTCTAACCTTTTGTGTTGAAAGTGTAGCTTAGTGTGTAAGTAATAAAACAATTTAGTCACAAATTATTCATTTATTTATAAACCGTGTATCACATATGCGTAGTGTACATTCACGACATTAGGCAAGAGTGTGCTTAATCCATGAAAATTATGAAAAAATACATTTTCTCGTAACACTTAACGACACTTAACTTATAGCGTTTAGTCAAAGTTCATAAATTCGTGCGCTTATGAAAACAACAACAGCGTAAATGCGAAATTGTAAAACAACCATGATTTAGAATTTAGGATTGCATTAAAGTCGAGCCCTGTATTAGTAAATGTTCCAAAAGCTAAATTAAGCTTAAACTTAACCTTCAGATGATGAAATGAAATGGGACTGAAAATAGTCTTTTTCTTTTTTGAAAATGAAAACAAGGCTAAAATTAGAATGCGCTTGATCACGCGCGACTAACGCTTTCTGAAGGCGTAGGCATACTTGATGCATGCATTCATCTTTAATTTTATTGTTATAGATAGGTAATGAATAGCTTTTGACAGTTGTCGAGATTAAAACTTGTGGAACACACATAGGATTTTAGAAATAGGCAACTTTAGGATTACCATTTAGAAAAAGATCATTTACATTCTGAGCTTGCTCATAATTGGGAAAAACTTGGCAGTACTTATAGTCATCAATACAGGTCAACTGATATTAGTACTCTCAAATGTTAGTTTTCGTGGTGTCACTAGCAGATATGTTCAAAATCCATTTCAAGCTAAATAAAGTTTAAAATATCACTGTATTTTAAAAAGTTACATGTTTTAAACAAATTCAGCAAGTCGAACTCTCTTGCTACTAAAACAGATGTATTTCGTTGACTGTCTATATGAAACACGTTGTATATTATTTAAATTTTAGTATGTCAGGTAGTAACAATCAGTTGCGTACCTTATATTTCCTTAACATTTATTTTTTAAAGGTCAAAGCTCCAAAATATGAATCGACTGCCCTTGAAATACTTAAAGCGAAACAGTGGTAAAATTATATTCAAATATTATTTAAAGTTAAAAAAACTTCTGTGACTAAAATTATTAATAAAAAAAAGTTTTAAAAGATTAGTATAAAATGCGTGCACAAAATTCGCGGAGCAGTCAAAATTCAAAAGATTTAGTGCGCGTAAAACTTAAGAATAAAGGTAGAGACGCACTAGATCCGTACACGTAAACAGGTTACCGTGTTTTATTTACCAACCAAATAAAACTGTTCTATAGGTTTTAACATAAATATTTTTCAAGTTATGATTGTACTGTCGCGACGTGGTAAAATACTATGTCTCATTCATAAACTGAAGAATAAATCTACATGTTCACGCGTACGGATGCAGTATGTACCGGCCTTAAGGCATTAGGTTTATTATCCACATCACAGCGTAGCGAAGCTTATGATATTGATTCAGTAAAAAACTGTTATGCGACTCGAAATATTATTAGCCCTGTACAGAATTGAGCAAAACATGCTCGATTATGTTTTTTGATATAAGCGTATTAATTTTCATTTAAATAATTTTAGTATAATTGTTTCCATCATTTCGATGATTGTGTCAATGCCTCCTAACTGACATAAAAATGTTGAAAATCATGCCTTTAAAAAGATATTGACACACATCCACAATAATTAAGCTGTTTAACAAGTCTGTGCTATATGTATTTCTTGTAAGTATTACTGTGCACATTGGCGAAATGTTTAAAGCTGTTACGAATATTTGATAAGCACACGGATAGAATGCAGCGTGTCTACGCCTATGTGGACGGTAAGGCTTACTTATGGGCGATATATCACGCCCTGAAGTGTGTTACAAGTTTAAGGATTTGCCACACTGAATGCGGCCTGCGGTCAGGTCAAAGTTATTGCATCCCGCATAATGTATTCATTACTTCGACCTCACCGCAGACCGCATCCAGTGTGCCAAATCCTTTAATTTGTCGTTAACATTTCAATGATCAATCACAATTCCCAAATATCTACGGATTTTTAATTTTAACATATTGGAAATTAATACAATTTAATAAATCAAAAATTACACATTACTTTGACATCATCATCAACGCTGAATCAAACTTGACTAATATAAAAACGTTAATAAGCATTTTTACAAAATTGTTATTCATATGTAACAATTATTAACATTGCAATTCCGCAGTAAAAAAAGTTAACAAAATCACAACTAAAACGGGACCAAACTACATTATAACATTTGCAGTTTTGCACACTTGCCCTACAAAATCTTTTCTACTATAAAACATCTAACATTTCCCACTGTGACGTCACAGAACGTACATTTTTCACACGTTACAATCCGATACATTTATCAAACACTTTATTACATAATGGTCCCTATAGTTTAGGACCGAAGATACTCTTTGCCTTGTTTACTGCCCTCGTCGATACGACAAACCGACGCGATGTTATAGACGTAACATCCACGAAGACGCGCCCCACCATTCTTCCGCTAATGCTTGAGTATTATCGGTACACGCTAAATTATCCATGAGTGCACAGTGCTTAAGCACACTACAACGATGACGCTCGGATTGCTCGGATCAAACTCCCCGCACCCCGCGCTTCTCTCGACTAAAAATTGGTAGGACGCGTCTTCGTGGATGAAACGATCTATAAGACCAAAATGGTCAAACCTCACAGAATCAATGTAAATCCAAAATTTTCCACATCTTGGGTCTACCGAAACCGCATTTTGCCTTACAAGGGCAGTATCTAGCGACTGATTCATAACCATCTATTCTTTAAGTTGCTATTCACGTTTCGTATCAAAAAGTCATTTTCTTATAACTTCTACACATCTATTCGTTCTATAGGGCTTAGTGATGTGACCATTAAAATGAAAATAATCGAAACAGAATTGAAGTTTATCTTATTACAATAATAACGATCTTCCGAAACCGCTCTAACTATACGACCACGAGTCACGATATCTCGAATAAAAAAATATATAAGACCTACTAAGAATGGGTATTAAAAGAAGAAATGGCCACATCACTAATAAATCAATCGATGAGAATCAATTTATGCTATCTAAGGAGCAAACCCAATCGCTACGTCTGACTATATTACAATTAGGAATGGTAAGACTAACTACATAGATATTGCGTATCACGTTGTCGACAGTGACACGGTTTTGGAAGCTTTTACAACTTTAAAATGTTAACATCCCAACTTCCCAACTAATATTATAAATGCGAAAGTAACTCTGTCTGTCTGTCTGTCTGTCTGTCTGTCTGTCTGTTACGCTTTCCCGCTTAAACCTCGCAACCGATTTTGATGAAATTTGGCATAGAGATAGTTTGAGTCCCGGGAAAGAACATAGGATAGTTTTTATCCCGGTTTTTGAAACAGGGACGCGCGCGATAAAGTTTTTCTGTGACAGACAAAATTCAACGCGGGCGAAGCCGCGGGCGGAAAGCTAGTTTGTCCATAAAAACTAAAATACTCCTAGCTCTTTTCATAACAGCGAAACGAAAACAAACAAAATAAAGTCAGCGTCATATAGTTCGTGACACCCAAAGTAGCCAAAAAGTTCGCAACACGTCTTTGTTACAATAGGGATGTTTCCTGCGTAAAAAAGTAAGAGTTTTAATTAGTCCGTCAGTTAGCTTATCAAAAACTACTCGACACATATTTTTCACTTTTTGAAACTAATGAAAATGTAAAGAGATAAAGCGTGCCAAAGTTCTAAAGAAAAGGGCCGTGACGTCAGTGAGTGCGTAAAAGTGCAGCACTTTATGACGTAAACTTCAATACACTATAACTTTCTAATTATTTGTTTGATTGACAATTAAAAATATATGAGTCTAATATTTTTTTATATTAAAATTGACGGACTAAAACAATTTTTTTAGGAAACTAGTTTATTGGAATAAGGCTGAGTTATCAACTTTTTGACTACTTTGGGTGTCATGAACTATTTAACGCTGACCATCTTTGACACTTCAAAAATATTTTTGAAAACCATGTCACTGCTTCACAATACACCAGAAATACTATTTAGATTAACAATAACTACACTAAAATAGCCGCTACTACTGTAAATGCACTAACCCCTAGTCGCTGTCTTTTATTAGGAAATACATCTATCGACAAAATTATTTTCAACATTATTTTGGCTTATTTGGTATTTTGCTAGCGAGCGGAGCGACCGAAGCCTGCGCAGATGGGATCCAGACAGCAAGCCAAAGTATTATCGTCCTTATAACAACTGTCTACGGTTTATAAAAACTAAGCATGTCAGTATTATGTATCTGGGTCGCTACATCCATGCAGACTTCGAGGACAATCGAGATAATAGTTTGTACATTAAAATGGCTACATATTTAATTAAGGTAATAAATAAAGGCATTTTTGTTATCACGCCATTATACTACTCAAATGCGTTCTATGTACAGTCAGCGTCAAATAATTTGTGACTTTCAAAGTAGCCAAAAAGTTCGCAACACGTCTTTGTCACAATTGCAATAAGCTTGTGTTGTCAACTTTTTGTCCACTTAGAGTGTCACAAACTATTTGACGCTGACTATAGAATTGACAGCACATCAGATTATACATTTTTGTTGTAAAATCACCTCTAATACAACTACATAAGATGTCACAGTGCTTATCTTGATGTGAGTCACAAGTCCCCGTACATAAAATGGAAGAAATGTCTCGATTGATCCAAACGCGACTACCCCGCTTATCCTACATGGCACACTATGTCGAATCTAAATACGATTGCGTGGTCCAATAATTGATATTTTCCAATAATAACATTAAATCGAAGAGATAGACAATTTATAACAAACTATTATTACGAAAATATATTTATTTCATGTTATCATAGTTATGCTCAAACTAATAACCGTTATAATATTTTTGAGCAAAATATTTTAACTCTCAGCTAATTAATTGTAAGGAAGTGGAAACTACCCGTTTTAATTTTATCAAATTATTACATTGGGGTCAATTCTGGTGTGAATTTCTAAACTTAACTGTTAATTTGTTCTTGTATAATTTTAGCAAGTAACCTTGCAAGTATTGAATCAAGATATTGATTATTTTTTCATACTACAGAAAAGTTATTATTATTAATAATCAAGTTTAGATAATGCATCGTCAGAATTAAACCCTTTCTCATAAGATTTGCAGCACGATACAATAGTGTACACTAAAAAACACATTATAACTCTACATAAACAAATTCACGGCAAAATTACAATACACTGACGAAATAATTAATAATCAACATAATTAGAATTAAGTACATTTCATAACAATATATTAAATAAACTCTAATTGTNTTAATTGTAATGTTCTTTTTACAGCAGTGATAATTAATTAATCATAAGATTGAAGACATCGTGACGTCTCGCTCTCTCAGTATATGGAGCGAGTGAGAGGTATAACACGTCGCAATAATATTTGACCCATTTGTTCACCTCTCTGGTTTATACATATTTATTTGCTTGAGTATACTTTGCTTGAGTATACTTCGCATATTATTTTAATTATTTTTATAAACTTCAATAATAAAAAGGTCATAAAAACTTCATCAAATCAAGGAGTTAACTTTTTTTAAAACTTAATAAAACGTATTTTACGAACAGAAAATGCAAATTATTTTTTGTTAACAAAGTACTATTGTTGACAACCCTAAAAAATTAAACTACATAGCCTCCTTGTTAATAATAAATAAATATAAATTAATATAGATTAATAATTTGAACTTAAAAATAAAATAAATACGTGGAAATAATTGGTTATTTAAATGGTATTCATAAAAGACTACTTAGTTTAACTAGGGTTGTCAACATTAATACAATTTTTATTTGCAACATACTAAATCATTGGAATTTACAAACGACGAGGTACTACAAATATAAAACATTTAACACTATTTTTGTACAACAATTTCATTATTTGTTCACCTGCATTGAAAATATTATATTTAAAAAAAAGTGTGTTTAAATAATTCAGAGTTGTAAATAAAACCTTGATAAAAAATATTTCATTAATAAAATACAGACGGCAAGAAAAGTTTTAAGCGAAAATTTTTGTTCGAGTTTTCGTATTCGGGTGTTGAAACATTAAGAGCAAAGTATCCGAACAAGCCAAAAGGATACGACCAAATTAATACAATTTTGACATAGAGGCCAACATTTCGACAAAAGTTTATTTTTGTTCATTTTTGCCACAATTGCAAACAAACTATAGAATATTATTTTATTAGTACTCTTAAATAATGTTTCAGCATTAAAATGTTATAATAAGAAAAATAATCATAATTATACAAATCAATGGTAAAACTTCGCTAGGTGCGACGACGAGATGGCGCTGTAAAAATTACCAAGTATTTTTTTACCATCATGCCTTTGCTTTACTTTTAATTTGTGTACACTTACAGCAAAAATGATAAAATAAACGCGTTTAACATCCTTTTGACTTTGGACGGGCTTTAAAAAGGGCCGATGCAACCCGACTGAATAAAAAAGTATTTGACAGAAAGCGTTCATTTGACATCTATTAACATCGAAAGCGACTTTTTAATTCAGCCGACTTGCATCTTTAAAATACCCGTTTCCTTAACATTAAAGATTGATATTTATATTTGGGCACATTATTATTCGAAGTCACCGTTAAATATGTAAAAAGTTATTCATTTCGACCAGGCATTATACAAAATATTAATCACTTTGAACGTGACTGTACATTTCAGAAAAATCGAAGAATTATAAAATTCACATTGCTCTCTTATATCACTTACTAATTTTATTAACTACAACAAACACATTACATTATATGAAGTCCTTCGTTTCATTACGAATCCCGTACTTTATGGAAGCGACTGTACTGTACATAATCGCTGACCACACATTATTCTATTACCCACTGCCGAACACTGGTATTTTGACTAGACGTCATTCAAAAACGCACTTTATTACAACACAATAAAATTAAATTTCACATAACTAATAATGTCACAACTAAATGATATGGAAAAATCGTCTTTATTACAACGGAAAAGTGAATGGAGGGAGATTCGTTAAAAATTTGAGCGTCACATTGCTTTTAAGACAAACATAAATAATTCAACGTCCCTTAGAAAATAACATTTTTAAAATTAATGACTTACCTTCCTTCTTCCGTAGTCAATACCTGAAATGTAAACAACAAATTAATAAACAAGAGGATTTATTGATAAAAATGTGCACCAAAAAGATTTCACTCTATCATAGCTTTAAATGCCACAATGATATTGCATTGGCCCGCACTCTCAGCCTAAAGCTGCGGTCTCGCGATCGCAATGCACAAGGCTGCGGTATACGGCATGCGGTGGCGGACACATAATCGTATGAAAAACGTCTAGAATGGTTTCTTGTTCCGTCGCAATATGTGTCAGCGGTGAAGAGCAATCCGTCGTAGTTTGCGATAGTTTGTGACACCCAAAGTGGCCACAAAGTTGATAACACAACCTTATTCCAAGTGTAAAAAAGACTACTAGCTAATTTAATAACATCTCTATAACTATAGACATAAGATCTACAATGGTACCTGTATTAGATTTAGGACACGCCCGCACTCATAGACCCAAGTCCCCGTACTGCACGGACCACTTGCTATTGAAATAACATCTCTATAACTATAATCACCTGTATTAGTATAAAGTCCCCGTGCTGCACGGACCAATTGTTAATGAAATAACATTTCTATAACCATATACATAAGATCTACAATGGCATTACCTGTATTAGCATACGCCCTCACTCATAGGCCCAAGTCCCCGTACTGAACGGACCACTTCTCGTAGGCCACGAGGCTGAGAGGCGAGACTGAGGGCCTGATCCTCTTCAGGGCATCCATGAAGTCTTGGAACGTGATGCTTCGGACCAGCGAGAGGTCCAGGCATTTCACTTCCTCTGGGTCGAGTTCTGTGGGTAGAGAATAGTGTTGTTATGAAAATATTGTCACATGGTTAGGTCAGGTAAATGACTATGGAATCTTGGATAGACAATCTTGTTGCAATGAAAGCCTAAGGCCTAGGTCCTTGGGCCTGCTGAATGTCCTAGAAAGACTTTCAATAGTGGTCTATGGGCGGAAGAGGTATCCACCCATACAACACTACTGAAAAAGAGGAGTACCCCATCCCAGTTAACATCGAAAAGACAGCGGCTTGGGTGTGTGTGCTCTTTTGTGACCTGTAGCCCTTCTCGATGACCATATAATAAAAGGCATAATAATATGGTGGGTACGGTGCCACCTAGGGCACACGAGGGACGGTCTGACTCTTCCGTTCGCTATCCGCGTCAGCTTATCATCGATCAGTGATGAGGAGACACCCCCCTCTTAATCATACATGCCACAGCAGTGAGTACTGCAGGAAAAGCCTGGTCCGTGAGCACGTAGAATTTTGTCCAATGACCCCTAGCTACCCATCCTTATCGCTCGCGCGTAATTATGTTGCTGTCGCGCTCGCACACTCACTGCGGGCGCGCGTCGCACAGTCGCTACAGCAATATAATTACGCGCGAGCGATAAGGATGGGTAGCTTGGGATCATTGGACAAAATTCTACGTGCTCACGGACCAGGCTTTAGCCTATACGTTCTTACCTCTGATAGGTCCTAGGGCAGCGTCTCGGCACAGCGCAGTGAGGTCGCTTCCCGAGTATCCGTCAGTCAGCGCTGCCAGCCGTGCTAGCTCGTCATCACTCAATGAAGACGCGGCCGCTCCCCGTGCTAACACTCTTCGTAACAGCGAGTCGCGCGTGCGCAGGTCTGGTAGCGACACATACACTCGCTTGGGAAAACGCCTGAAAATGATAGAAATAAATTAAACTGGGATCTATCTATCTAAACAGTGTCTGCCTGCTCCCCTATTTTGGAATGCAGTCTCTCCTAACACAAAATCACTCATAATAGCGTGGTAGCCATGACGATGAGCCAATCGGCGTGCCAAACACTTTCAAGTGGAGTTACTGGTTATTCTGGGCATCTGTCTCTCTGTTTGCAAAATGGCTTACCGTAGTGCCGCCTCGTCCAACTCCTGCGAGCGGTTTTGGTGGCGGCTATTACGATGAGACGATTGGTGCGCCAAACGCCTCCAAATTGAGTTCCTGGTTATTCTAGGATGCCGTGTCAGTGTCTAAGTCTCTACTTTTTACTGTTTAACTAGCTCACCTCATCCAGCTCCTACAGGCGGTTGGTAGCCTAAATTGGTGCGCCGAACACCTTCAAGTGATACCTGGTTATTCTAGGGCGTCGTATCTGTCTGATCAAGTATGTCCCTACTCTCCTGGCACAAGTCTCTCACCGTAGCGCCGCCTCGTCCAACTCCTGCGGGCGGTTGGTGGCGGCCATGACGATGAGGCGGTCGGCCACCTCCAAGTGGAGTTCCTGGTTATTCTGGGGTGTCATGTCTTTGTCTGATCAAGTATGTCCCTACACTTCTGGTTGGTGGTGGTTGATCCTGGCTACATAGGAGTTGCACGAGTGGGAACGAGAGGTGGGAATAGTCTCGTTACTCTTCTGGAAAAATGTGACTGGTTTATCTCACCGACCGTCGAACTCCACCAGGAACTCCGTCTTCAGCCGCCGCGACGCCTCGTGCTCGCCGCTCGAGCGCTCGCATAGCGGCGAGCGGTCGGAGGCGGTCGTGATGATGACGATGAACAGTGTCCGTCTTCTATTCTGGGACATCTGACCACCTATTATCTACTTATTTTCTTTAGCTTTTTGCTTCTGCCAGAGTAGAACAAGTTCGAGTGGACCTCTTTAATTTACCAGAGGAGGGCGTGATCTTTCAGTAGACTAAATTACCTGATGATGATGTTTGAAGCTCACTGTAGAGCAGCTTCATCCAGCTCTTTCTGTTGGTGGCTATGACGGTGGGCCAGAGCGCCTGCCTGTACCTGGCATCTAGTCTCCTACCAGTTTTCGTGATAAATGTCTGGTAATCAGTTCACCCTAGAGCAGCTTCATCCAGCTCCTGAGGTTGGTGACAGCCATGACGATAAGGCTGAGTACTTAGTTATTTGTGAACAGTATCTGACCCCCTATTCTGAGAAGCAGTCCCTACTGTCCTAGCAAAATATGACTGCAAAAAGCGCACCATAGCGCCGCCTCGTCGCGGCCATGACGATGAGACGATTAACGCCCCTATTATGGGATATAGTCCCTACTCTCCTGGAAAAATGTGACTGGTTTAAGTCTCTCACCGTAGCGCGGCCTCGTCCAGCTCCTGCGGGCGGTTGGTGGCGGCCATGACGATGAGGCGGTCGGCGCCGGCGGCGGGCAGCCCGTCGAACTCCACCAGGAACTCCGTCTTCAGCCGCCGCGACGCCTCGTGCTCGCCGCTCGAGCGCTCGCATAGTAACGAGTCGACTTCGTCCACGAAGATTATTGACGGCTGAAGAAGAGAAATTAAATGAAAATGTGTAAAAGCGCCATCTATACAGTCACACAGCCAAAATGATTTGAACCGTCTACGTCGCAACGCCTCGTGCACGCCGCTCGAGCGCTGACATGGAAACGAGGATCTCTCGTCCACGAAGATTATTGACGGCTGGAGAATAAGTAACAGAATCAGAATCGTCATTTATTTTCAACGACAGATGGTTCGTTTGGCCGCTTTCACATTAGGGCGTGAGAAGCGCGACAGCAGCGCGGCAGCGGCGGTTTTATAATGTGAAGGCAGGCATCCGCTGTCATATTGTATGAAATTATCGGCAGCACGTCTGTTGCGCGTTTGTCGCGCTGATGAAATCGCCTAAATGTGACAGCGCTCTAACGGTATTTAAGGAACACGTCTTAATATTAAGACCTTCAAAGAATTTCTGGGCTTTTCTCGTCATGCTAGTAGATCGAATGTACAACATTTGAAAAAAGATGACACTCCGTATTCGGGTTATTTGACCCGAATACGGAGTGTCATCTTTTTTCATATTCATATTATTTCTATTCCATTTATAGCGACATCCAGTCATAAAATAAGCCTGTACTGACTCCAGCATTTTAGGCTAACAATTTAGGCACATAAAAGATTTTATTAAAGCTAAAATGTTAGCATTTAGTTTGATAAATACCTACAAAACAGATTCACACAAATTATTGGTGGTCTCCTGCGACATCTAGCGTGATATTGTAGTTTTCCACTACAAGTGTGACGAATACCAAATAATTATATGTTTGCAAATGTTACAAGATTAAAACATTTAGAAAAGTGTACCTAAATATCAAGCACATAAGTATCAAATTACCTGTAACTCCCTGGCGACTTGAAATAGTGCCCGCACCATTTTTTCACCGTCGCCGACGTATTTACTCGTGAGTGTCGCTGCTGATATCGAAAAGAAGGTGGCTGAGCATTCCGCAGCGACGCAACGGGCTAGCAGAGTTTTACCTATTGGACAAAGAAACGTGTTCGTAAAACTCTAAAGAATAAACAATAAGATTTCCAGGTAGAGGTTTGTTGCTGTTTAGACAAAGAACTGTCACGTGACAGTTTAGAACCGGTCCTAGGCGCCCAGTACCAGTAGGTTTTAGGTTGCTGATGGTAAGGGCATTTTCGAATCAACCAAGTAAAGAAAGTTTAGGAGGAGGGCTATGTTCTAAGATTCTAAGATGAACCCCAAAGGCTGATATAGATAGATAGGGGCAATATAACAATCTATATCTATAAAAGCGAAAGGTTACTTATTGACTGCCTCTCTCATGACGAAATCTCAGAAATTACAAATGCTATTAGTCTCAAATTTTGCATGGGGGGAACCCAGGAGGTGCTCACTAAGACGGGATTTTGCAAAATTCAACCCCTATGGAGGTAAAACGGGTCGCTAGTACATTATAATATAGAGTTTGATAAGTCTTTGTGATCCCTATCGTATTCATTTTTTTCTTTTTGACTTACCATTTCCTGGAGGGCCGAACAGTAGTAGTCCTTTGGCTGGAGATCTCAAGCCCGTGAAGAGTTCTGGCCTCAGAGACGGCAGGACTACCATCTCTTGGAGCGCTTGTTTTGCCGTCTGTAAACATCATCATCATTATACAACATGTAAGGTACTTATCTAGACGAGTGTATTTCTTCATCTCGTTAATACGCATATACAAAATAACTTTTCAGAACCCAGATTTGTATATTCTGTTTAGAAGCAATCAATCGATTTGATCTCAATCGAAGAGTTGAATTTTGTTGAATATTTGTTATAGATATGCCCTGTATTGATAATATGCTGGACTGCTGCCAAGATACGTGGAACAGTCGTTCGTTGTATTTGTATCCATCTACACTACAACAAGAAGACTAATACATTGGTTATGCATATTATATCATATTGGTTATAAATAAATATTCTTTTTAGATCAAGACAGCGTGGAAACTCTCTTCTGACGAAAAGTGATGTGATCATCACTTGGCCAAAGGTGAACTGAGCTTCACCCAGAAACCACAGAAGAACTTAGCACAAGTCAGTCTTTGTGTCCTACCCAGTCTTGAGATTAGGGTTCTTTTACTCGTAAATTAGACGTTTTGAGCAAGACATTATTGAATACGGCACACTAAATCTTTTGCCACACTTGAAGGAAATGCTGTCGCGGATCTTACGCAAAGCAAGTTACTGTTAAGTGTGACGAAGGCCTAATTGTTGGTATCGGTTTTGATTTTTACTTCAACGCTGTGTCACATTATTTACCGCGTGCGATGCTGCAAACTGACGACTCCTCAGACTCAGAACGTCATTTTTAAAAGAGCGCTTAAAGCTACAACTCACCTCTTGTCCAGCGATGTCGTCCCAGTGCACCTTAGGCCCCCCTTCCACAATCTCGTCCAGTATCAGCTGGACCAGCTTGGGGTCCACTCCTCGCACCGACAGCGCCGGCTGCGGGGTCCGGCTCCTGGTGGGGGTCCCTCGCTGGGACCCACCGCCCACGGCCCGCCGGATCGGGGACCCGTTGGCAGGCACCTGATACGCGCTCTGACGTGAGAGAGGTATGGTGATGTTAATGGTGGTGAGTGATGGTGCAGGCGTTAGTGATGTGTTAATGCATGTTAATGTTATTGATTATGTCTTCGATTTAGCTTTTGCAAAGCATATCTGTTTCTGTGCCTATAAAATAGGCCCGGTTTCCATCAAAGCGTAGCGGGGAAGTGTCGGGCCGTCAAATTTTTCTATAGAATTTGGTAGCGGCGGCGGTGCGTTGCGTAGCGGGGCTGTGCGAGAAATCTGATTGCGATATACAACACACTTCTCTGCTCCGCTCCGCTTTGGTGGAAACCGGACCTTAAGTACACATGCAAAGAGTCCTTATGTGCTAGCTAGTAAAGTCTTTTTTTTAAGTTTTACACCATATTGAATAAAATTCAATATGCGAAAAACTGCAGATTTTAATATCAAAATTTATTTGACGGAAGGCTTATTTATGTATGATACTTGATTTGTCATGGTGTTCTGATCCTGTATCAACCGCCATGTTTATAAAATCAATACCCATTCTAGGAGCACGCTTTGTTGCATGTGGAATTTAATTGATGTTAATAAGCTACATTATTTCGATGCCGAGCATGCATATTGCATACTTCTACTAACATAAGCAACACGAATGAACGGCCTGCTAAAGGCATTCTGTAAATTGTTTGCCCTTTGTACGGACGACGGCAGTACATCGAGCTATAAAGACTAGTAAAGAAACTTTATGTAGCTGTATTTTGGCAACAAAAATGTTGACTTTCATAAGCTTTGGACTGTGTACGGACGACCTGTCATTTCCTTTGCACTGGAGGGAAGTCGAATCTTTACTGTATCCTCCTATGTTCATCTGATTGATTTCGTTAGCGGGTCCAATGACAGTTTAACTTTCCCCCGGGACAAACTTGATCACTTGATCACTGCTTGCTACACAGGAGTTGCAGCGGTGGGAGCGAGAGGTAGGAATAGTCCCTTGTATGTACGGACGATTGCACATTAAGCTAAACACAGTGGCATCTTATCTCATTGTAATACAAGCTATTTTGCAGCAAATATCTATAGTATAGGGGAGAGTTCGGTATATTGTACCGCCGGGTAAATTGTACCACCCTCATATCTCGTAAAGTATTTATTGAATGTCTGTAATTGCAACACTCAGCGATACACAACTAAAATCAATTAATATCGGCCATGTGGTTTTGGCGGTGACAACAAACACGTGTGTTTTATTTTGAAAAGTATTTTTTCATTGTTTTCAATTAAATATTGACAATACATGTTTAGTTTGTAATTTTGTTAAATTTAATCACAGGGTGTTTCTAATATATTATTTAGAAGCGTAAATTAGTGTGGATTACAATTATTTGAAACATTTTTCGGTATTTATAAGCTATATTTTTTACCGATTTTTTAAAAGCACTATCACCTAGTCGGCTAAATTGGACCACACCAAGTTGTATGGAACTTTACCAAAGGATTTTGAAATTTTTTTTAGTAAATCATATTTTGAAGTTATAATAGCGTAGTTATGTTTGACTAACAATAAATGAAAGCAAAAGACTGGCAAAGTAGATTAGGTACAAGTGTGCGTTACGATAATTGGAATTACAAAACTTGTACTCAAAATCGTGATAACGTGTAAAATAATATCGATTGTCTATGTTATTAACTACTGTTCCTTTTCGTTTCCTAATTTGTTAAGAATGTATCGTATAATATTTTGCCATAGTTTTTTTATAGGCTTGAAATTTATTGAAATTCAATTTAGTAACCCTGTGGTACAAATTATCCAACCGGTTGGGTAAATTGGACCGAAGGTCTGAACTCGTACTTTGTTGATTTGTGCTAAATATACAACAATCATGTTAATTAATACTTATGAAATAGTAAGTTGAATAATGTACCTTTTGATATATACCATGGACATTAGCAAAAACAAAAGAAAACTGTGTGTAAAATGGGATTGAAAAAAACTGGTCCAAATTAGCGGACTCTCCCTTATGATGTGCTGTCGACTCTACATAAGCCAGTAAAGTAATATTGTCGCAGATTCGACGCCATTCAATTACAAGTTTAAAATGAAAGTGAATGTGAATATTGGTAATTACATTTTATTGAGACTATCAAGAGTGCAAAGGAAGCTCAATTCCGCTCGTCTGATACCAAACAATTATTATTAATTAAAGAGAAACTAGTTTTGAGTTTCATAAAGTGCTTTCTTTTTAAAGGTTCTTTTGTGCACCTTCTTTGTGAAACACTCAAGTTCAAAAATATGTTTGAGGTACCCAAATAATTGATTCACAAGGTCTCTATAGACGTAACAAAGGCATTATCTAGGTCAAGACATTATTGAAATTAATGCGGAAAGGTATTGATGTACATTTAATTAAACTAATGGAAGGACGTTGTGAAAAAATATAGCCATTATGAGAACGTTTAACGCCTATTTTTTCGACGTCGAACAAAAATAGGTTAAAAATTTGGATTTTAGGTTCCTACATACTTAGGTTCATAAATACGATGAACATTAATGACTAGCTCTTGTTCGTGTAAATTGATACCGTGAATTTCCCGTGGGAAGTCTTAAGATCAAAAATATCCATCCCTTTTATCAAAATTGACTACAAATAATGTAAAGCGAAGAAAACATTACAGTTATGTGTACGAAGGCTGTATAAGTAAACATTTACATTAAGAACAAAGTTAATTTGCACATGAAAGTAAAAAGTTAGTCATGAAGGATCATTTTCTGAAACTAGCACATGAAATTAACAACCTCTAACTTTCAGGCCAATTTCTTCGTTAACTGACACGGAAGAGATAGATCTGACTTAGAATAGATATGCGGTTATCCGCAGAACTGAGACTCCACACGAGTCAAGCGATAGATAATTTGTCATGTAATATCTTTATGACAGATAGGATCTATCCAATATACACTACGTCCGATTTTCATAATCAATCCTAATCTAACACCTGTATTCACAAACATAACTATGAGGTCTCACAGTGCGCGTGGACGCACAGGGTGACATACGAACCGTTCACAGAGCTCTATTCAACGCTGTGCGTTCGATTTGCTGCTTCACTTAAGCAAGCATCGTTTGTGAATACAGCCTTATTCTGCCTGTCAACTGTCAAATGTCAATCAGGGATTGTTTTTGGTTCCCAATAATGTATCCACAAATAGTGATTGTGATCTGCGCACGCGCATACTAATCTATCCATGGTAGGGTCCATATAATATGTCAGATTACGGATTGACCTTCTGTATGAAAATAACAAAGGTGTTAACCATAAATCAGGGGTGGCCAACCGGTCCAGTCAATCGTGGCAAAAAATACTACATGATTGTGTACTAAATTATGCTGTTTCATTTAAAATTTCAAGAAGTATGTAAATGTTAGGTCGCCCAGGGTTTCGTTAGTAAACAGTAGATCTTATGTCTAATCAAGTTAGCCACCACTGCCATAAATAAATACATAACAATTACATATTACTTCGAAATAAAGGTATATCCATGGCCGATGACCGATGTATTTGTATGGCTCAAAGCGTGTAATATTTGCCTATCTTATTATTTGTTACGTCAAACTATTATGGACACGATAATAACTGAGATTTTTTCGAATATTTTACGCATTGTTCACAATAAAAGATCGTTAATTAGTGTTACGAAAGCAATTGCAAAATAAAGAATGAGAAATGCTAATGCTGTCCAAAGCAGAAGTCATTATCATAATGAGTATGTCAGACACAAAGAAAATGTTCAAGACAAGCGAAATTATCATCTATCTAGCATTAAATAAGGTTAGCGAGTTGTAAAATACGATTATAGTTTTAAATAAAAGCGGATATTCTCTAAGTAAATCGTAAAAAATGTGAAAAAGCGCCGTCATTTGTTCAAGTTATCTCTTAAAGTTATTGCATGCACTTTGCAGGCTGAAAAGTATGAATGGTGGTTGAAGTGACAGTTAGACTGTTGGTTCGTTTACATTAGTAAATTAACTAAGTTTGTATAATTAATGCTACTAGCTACTGCACGCGGTTATGTCTGTGTGATTCGGTTTGCATTACACGATGGAAAATCTATATCACGTGCCCTGTAAATAATTTTCTTGGCGGCAAAAGCTCTCCCAGGTCTAACCTATTAACCTATATCTGAGTATAGCAAAATTATTTTGGTTTGGCGTGAAATACAACAGACAGAATGATCATTCTTTATGTAGAGCTAGAATACAGTTCGCTAGTCGCTTATTCTACAAACTTACCTGCGCCTGAAGACAAAGTACCTAACATTGGTGACAGATTTAATTTCCTGTTAGCTTCACGTAGAACAATATTACGTATATTATCGCGAAATTGAATCTGTCACATACAAATCTTATTTTGTTTCGAGTCTCTGTGCCCTGTAGTAATGATTTATTTAGAAAGTAATAATCATGATATAATAAATGGTTGGGCCTATGCCTAAATTCTGCATTTTTTTACCTTAAACTTCATTTTCTTCGGTGGCTCCAACTCTTTAAAGTTATTTAGCTGCATAGAATGGTTTCCTATCAATCTGTTGATCGGATTCGGGACCAGCACCTTCGCAGGAGTGAGGTGGCCAGTGTTTAGTACCACGCGAGAAACCTCAATAGAAAATTATGAAGAAAATCCGCACTCGTTTTTGTCTTTGAAACGTCTGTCAACGCAACACTCATGTGAAGAAAACGGCTGAATTTTCGTGAGACTTAAAACCGCAAGAATTATCGACGGGTCGACCCTTGAAGCTCAGTCTCCGTCTCCTGATCCGCAGGTTGGTGGTTTTCATTTTATGTGACTATATTTTTAAGTTTTTGGAGTCACCAATCGTCCCCCACACATATCTCGTCTCCCGCAATTTTAGGCTATTTACACGCCACACCACTAGAGATAAGACAGTTGTCTAACACTGAACAGTCCCTATTACAATGACAGGAGGGCGCACAGTGTTTTTTTTTGACCCGAAAAAGTGACATTCTGTTTTTAAGTTTTTATCACTAATATCCAAATTTTAACTTATTATTAATGTTAGACTAAAACACCCAGGTGACAAATAGCTATAGATTATTTTTTTTTAAATATTTTAGAAAATTTATTTTTACTGGGTCAAACTACAATTTTATTATTATTTAAAGAAACGTACACACTAAGCTTCTCTTTGCATTGCAGGTAGGTAGGTTGGTGTATGGCGAATATTATTGCACCTATAATTATTTAAAAGTAGTTATAGGAACGACAGTAGGTATGATTATTTTTTAAATTTAAGAAATTATTATTTTTCTCTTTTTCTACGCCGAAGTAGAATCTCTGCTTAGGTCAGATAAATTTCTCAAAATAAGCTGTATCACCTGAAATTTTTCTATAGGTATTCTAACTCGGCCGCAATTTCGAGAAAAAATATTTTTTCCAAAATGTTAGGATTGTCACAAAAAATGACCTTACGTAGTTCCACTTTCTTTAGGGTTCCGAAATAATATTCAATAATATTCGCCATACACCAACCTGCCTACCTGCAATGCAAAGAGAAGCTTAGTGTGTACGTTTCTTTAAATAATAATAAAATTGTAGTTTGACCCAGTACAAAATAAATTTTCTAAAATTTAAAAAAATAAAATAAACTATAGCTATTTGTCACCTGGGTGTTTTAGTCTAACATTAATAATTATAAGTTAAACTTTGGATATTAGTGATAAAAACAGAATGTCACTTTTACGGGTCAAAAAAAACACTGTGGGGCGTTACTTTTAACACTGAATTATTAGTTTCGATTTTCGCCACGTTGGAAAACATTGAAAACGTCATTTACAAGAGGACGCTATCAATACTGGGTTATTTATTATTTTCGATTTTGCCACTTGACGTTTCAGAATCGTTCAACTTTGACCGTAACTATAACGATAACCAGTGTTTTTTGTATGGAGTTTGACAGATTTTTGACGGTTGTCAAAGTTAAAGTATGATGGTGTAACCCAGCTTTAGCATATAAACATGCCTACAAACTCACGTGCAACTAAATATGCACACAGAAACGGCAGGATAATGCACAAGTAGCCCCTTTATTTACTTCACGGACATGCTTAAAGGACTAAGGAAGTAGGCCGCACGAATGGCCTTATAAGGATTCTGTTTCCTATAGGTGTGGAATAAGTAATCGCACGAGTATGGTGCAAGAAAATCAGTTACAGCTCAAGGTTTATTGTTTAGACAAAAGAATTAAACTGTAGCATCTAATGTACCTACTTGGAATAGGGGTGGAAATTGCAAGGAAAAAATATAGCCTGAAGTGCCGTTGTCTGTTTTAGAATTGTAATTTGGCGTTCGTGAGATCTGAAATACTCCCCCTGAGTCTTTAACTACTGCGTGACCATTAATCAAAAACAGTTCAACTTTGGTTGAATATTCCTGAATTTAGTTGTGAAAACTTGCCAAGTAACACATTAGCGGGTAGCAAGGAACATTAACTAGTTTTTTTACCTTATGGAACTTGGCACCCTTCTAGATTTCAATATGTTTTGGCCGGCCTTGAACTTCCTAAACCAACATACGCCGCTTTTTTACACGTTTATGAGTCAGACTTAACCATTCAATGGTTCAATTTCAATTTTCAATTAGTTCAATATGTAACAAACAGCAAAATACCAGATACCTACTTACCTAATACTGAACTGTCTATGTGCCAATAACAAAACTACGAAAACAAAGGAACGATTTGGTGTTTTCTGAAGTACCTATCCATCTCTCTGTTCCGAAACAGAAACTGACACGAGCAATAGTGAGAGAGAGAACAGAAAATACGGAACCTACTCAAGACCTAAGTGTTTGTATAGACGATAGCATGTCAGGGTAAGCAGCTGTGGCATATTAAGTATGAGTAGTTGTATTAAGAGCAATTTTGAAAAAAAGTGCAGTCTGTTGGTTGTGCTTTCAACTGTACTCCACTAGACATCAACTTACCGAAAGCTGGCGTTTCACAGCCGGCGGTGTCGACGCCGGCTTCACAGGGTATCTGCTATAACTCCCATTAGAGCTGTTAGGCTGGGATGAAGACCTGCCCATAGACCTGGGCAGCGTCTGAGACTTCATCAAGGGCCCGCCCACGCTGGGAGCGCGCCGCCCAGCCGTGGTCAACTTGCGGCCTGCCACTGATAGGAGAAATTGGTGTTAGAACGGCTGGATAAGGTGCGTTGTACAGCTTTGGGAATGTTGAAAGAATCGGACGCTATTGTAAGAGTTTTGGGACTCTTATGAATGTTGTAGTAAGAATGAATGAAATTCTCAATGTACGGTATTAAGCTGCAAATAAAATTACAGATTTGAGTAGTTCGATTCTTTATGCAATGGGCAATAGTAGCTCTCTACAAAGTGGATACCTTTTTACAGCCTCAGGTTATATTATAAATTAGACATCCTTACATTAATGATTCTACTAGCTTTATTAAATTAATAATGTATTTCTTAGTTTCTTTAACAGTTAAGTCGGCTTATTTCTTCAACATCACCTATAAATATGGAATTAAAATACATTAAAAGTTCACAGCGGAAAATAGGATTAATGTTGTAAGCTGATTATAAAAGTATAAACAAAATGCAAAGCTCCGTCTGCTGAAGCAGTAAGTATAATTTTTACATTTAATTTTAATTATAAAATTATTGTTTATAACAACGCAAAACATTAATTCAATTTGCTAATATTTCCAGGTAATTAAGACTTCAGCAGCTATTAGTCGTATTAAATGGAATACATATTAATGTAAAAGGTACTTAAATAAAATGGAATTGCTAAGTAACGGAAACAGTCGATGCAATTATTACACCCAAAACCTACCTGTTTTACGAAATTATGCTCGCATGTACAATGTTAATAAACCCATGCACCCTCGGTTGAAACAAAGCCTGTGTCCTGCAGACCCTTTTAGATTCTAGATTGTAGGTACTCGAAACTTGCATGTCACTATAAACCCTTTTTTAAACAATACCCTCCGTCTGCTCTGTCATAGCCGGATAAAAGCGCTGGAGAGACTCTACAAACACCAAACTTGTCGTTTTAGCTGATGAACGCTTGGCACTTATTTAAGTAAAAATGTAGACTTTTCTATGACGAAGGGGCAAAAGTGTCATACAAGTCTTTAAGACTATTTTCGTTCTTTAGGGCGAAAACGCCTAAACAACCTACGTCTCCTATTGTATGTTTGAGAGAATTCTAAAAATATTTTCACGCGAATCAATAACCAAGAGTCACGGTGAGGTTAAGTGGACTCTGCAGAGGTCAAATTAGAGACGCATAAATTCAAAAGATAAAGAAAAAATCGATTGCTTGTAAGCATGAGATGGAGATGTTGTTTACAGAAATAACCCTAGACTTTCAATTGACCTTTAGATAACATAGTAGACAGATGGCCTGTGCCATTCTACAAGTGAGACGTTAATATTTATACGGTGTTTGACACCATTAATTTATCCTAAAATGGATCTCTTCTCTTGTAATAGCTGTGCCCTACAGGGTCTAGAATGTTCTAGTATTGAAGTTTATAATGGAAGCCATTAAATAAATATTGAGTAACCTTAAACTTAATTTTAGCCCCGGAAGCCCAAAGTTTTAAATTAGTACTTTTATTAGCTTTGGATGTAGGGAATTAATAGCTTATCAAAAGTATGGCAATGGATTGGCGGTGTCAAGTCAACCCAATTCTTAGTATATTTAATACACTCCTAAAATAGAAAAACAAGTGGCATTGAAAACATGTGCATCTAAATGGTCACTTATTCACTTGTCACAATATGCACATCGCTCGTTCCACGCCACATGCACATCGTCCGATCAATGCACAACAGTCAACACACAGACAAACATTATTATTGTTATGGTAATAGCCATTCTGCTGTTACCTGCGTAATATACCGTGGGATGCAGACGCGTTCTTTAGTTTATTGGTGCGACCTCGTTTCGTATGAAATCAATTTTATTCATAAGATAAGTGTGTCATGAAATTGTGCAAGATATCGTGTTGCGTGTCCTTTGGAACTGGATAATGTAGGATATAGCAAATGTCATGCTCGCGAAATGTACTGGATATACTTGGTTTAAGTTCCATATTTTTCACGCAAAGTATGGCATATTTTACTACAACTCACGTGCTTTATTACCTGCACTGAGACTAGAGGCTATCGCCCGTATTCACAAACGATGCTTGCTTAAGTGAAGCAGAAAATCGAACGCACAGCGTTGAATAGAGCTCTGTGATTGGTTCGTGTGTCACCCTGTGCGTCCACGCGCACTGGGAGACCTCATAGATGTTTGTGAATACGGGCGTATGACTTTACAATAACTAGAACTGTATGTGTAACCCGAGGTACAAATAATAAGTCATACATACATCATACATGTTATGTTTATTTATTTATTTATTCATGAATAGAACGGTAGTACCAATTACACTATTCAAACAAGACGTAACAAAGCTCAGAATAACATTTAAGTAATTAAAAACAATGTTATACAGTTGAAAGTTAAATAAGCTATAATGAGCCTTAAAATCTGTAAAAACTACCAGTAAAAAATGTGTAGAAAAGACCACAAAACAGAGAGTGCGAAACCAACAAAACTTAGGGATAACTCATTACAGAGCTAGGTTACAGAAAATCAAGTTAATTTAGTAAATTAAGATCGACTAGTTCTCTACTCCACTAACCCCTAAGGTTAATTTAGTTAATCGCAGGGATTTGTTGTTCAGCAGTTCAGCTTCTTTTGTTCAGCGTTCACATCAAGCTAAAGATTGTAGCATCTTATGTCAGTTGTAATAGTTTCTATTTTGGAAAAAGTATCTAACTTCACATATTGGTAGTAAAACCGCCTCTATTACTACTGTATAAGATCGTCATAGTGATAGCTTGACTGTACAAACCGCTGCTCTACCACTGATCCTGTGGAGACGCAATTTTCTCCGAATTAGAGCAATTCAGGAGTCGTCGTCCTTAGCCAATTATCTATTTAGCTTCAATTTAAACGTTTTATTAGCACTCGCGGTTCCCAAATGACTCGGTCACACACCCGACACAATACGTTTTGTATGTGCGTCATAGACTCATAGATATCATAGGAACGACTACGGGTATCTACCTGTTGTATCTAGAATCATTTATCAAAGTATGCAGAAGAACATAAGGCTACATTTCGCGGCAAAAATATTTTAAAAGGAGTGAAGTTTGTATTCCTATAGTATACATACGTCACCCATGCCCCATATCATATCTCATGATAGGAATATTAAAGTTTACAGTTATGTTTGTTTGTATTTCAAAATCGGTTACGATAACAAGACGCTCGATAAAGATTAAGTATAGCTATGACAGATCTTAATCTAAGCGCGATCGTGTAGATATTATTAACTTACTGCGGGTTTAACTCGCTACTTCGATACATTAATAGACAGAAAACAGAACAAATCAACAACAACATAAGCTTATTAATAAACTTGAGTCATTTACTTAGAAGCAGCGGATTTGTTTCGGTCTGTTTTTCTTTCGAAGCTCTATTTCTTGAGGCGAACTCGGTTATTTGTCAAGCCTACAAGTCACAACAGAATGCCACAGCTGAGTAACACTACCGAACGTAACGATAGTTTATTTGGTTGGACTTTTAGCGTGGAGTTGTATTTTTGATACTTTAGAATTGAAACTCGCATAGACGTTTTAACAAAGTTTACAGGAACTTTTAAAAATTTTGTAATATTTGCTCTAGTATTACTAAAATTGCTATGCTAATCCTATAAGTTAGTGTTAGGAACAACACAATCTAGTATCTTAATCTGTGCCACGATAATCCAGATGATGATCGATGGGGATCGAATTTGTGCAACTTCAAAAATCGGCACTTCGGCAGTATGTGACTGCCGAAACCACTTAGACTATTTATTTACACGCTACAATTTGTGCGTAATCGTGTGCGAATTAGAAATCGAATGGTTCAAGAATATTTCCCCAGTGGTTTTTAGGCTGGGCGCCACCAAATTAAATTGTATGACTCACTGTTCCAGTGACAACCCCGGTTACTAAACAGGCAGAGTTTTTGTACGACATTGTACAAATTCGAGGAAAAAATCCCTTTATCAGTCAGACAAAATAAAAAGTTACTCAAGTACGAAGGTCTTTTCTTTCAAAGTCAAATCTTATATCTTCTTCTTCGAACATAAGTTTCGTAATTAATTGAATAGACTGTCATTATTTTTTGGCAGGAAGGATGATGAGCACTGTTGACTGTACATACATCTTATTTAGGTTTGACGTCTAACCGTGCCATTTTTTCGGTTCTTTTCGTGATATTTTTTCCAGCGCTATAGAACTCAAAGCGAGAAAGTAGTTTTTCTTTGTTCAAGCTTTCAGAACAGTTCAGTGCTCCATCACGTTCAAACAAACATGAGTCACGACGTCAAGATTAAATTGCTGACCAATCGCCTAAAACGGGCCGACTTGTCTGTGCTTACTTTTACTTTATTTGTATTGCGCTTGTATTAGATGTCTAGTTATTGCCCGCGACTTTGTTCACTTAAAGTTTGTATCATCTCTATACAAAAATCACCAAAATTGAACAGTTTTGGCATGAAACATACATGATAAACGAATATAGGAGGGATCATTGTTTACAATCAATTTTCCAAATCCAAAGAATCACGTGTAACTAACTTATCTCTTAATAATTTTGTATTTTTTTCCTACTCTTTAATATAATTTTATATTGACAAAAAAATCGCTGAGGAATAATGTAGCTTTACATAGAGAAAGAAATTTCAAAATTGGTTCAAAAGTTTTCAGAGATTACGCTTAACAGAACAGAAACAGAACTTACAAACCTCTTTATCATAGAGTAGAATGTAGATTTTAAAATTCTTGAGTCACCAATAAAACGTATTCAAGCTCGTAATAAAGATATAAAGACGACTGATGGAAGTTATGTGCCGAATATTTACGTGAAACGCCCTTTTGTTTGCCCTTGCCCTACCGGTCAACGAATTCTCTGTGGACCTACTAATTGTAGTTACGTAGAGAGAAACGATGGATAATTACACACGGTTCACAGTTCTTAGAGGTCAGCTGTAATAAAATAGTTTCCTTTAGTACAAAAACATAAACCTCCTTCTGGCGTAGT